ACCTCTCTCTCTCTCATACTCTACAGAGGTATTCTGCACCTAAAATACTCTGAAATCCTCAGACCGGACCCTGGGCTTGATTCACCTCTGTATCCTCTTCAGTACTAAATGGAAACCTCCAAGTCCTCCTGTAACTGTAACGCTCTGAAAGAATACTCAAGTGGGATCCATATATTGAAAAATTAGGTGTGCTGAAAACCAAGCACAAAAAATGGTGGGTTATTTAACTTTAAAATTCACTCTTCATTATGTGATTCCATTATGAAGTCTACAAAAATAATTGTGGCTCAATATTACCTATCTTCCAAAACTACTGATGTTAACACGAGACATTAGTATTCAATCAACAGTGAAGTACGGTGGCCCATAAGGACACTGAAAACCACATGAATGAGCTGCACTGGCATTTAAAAAATCAAACATCAAACCACCATTTAATTCTTCCAGCTCGTATCTATGTGACTATAATATGACAAAGATTTCCAATCTGAAAAAATTCAGAGTTCAATTAGCGGACAGCAAAGTCAGAATCATATTAAAAATGATACAGGATAACAGCTGGGGTGAGTGGTCGGAGGATGTTATGTATACACTGAGTATACATATACAGACTTACTTCAAGAGAAAAAAAGAAATATGAAAAATTTTCTTGATTATGAGCCTCTCTAAAACTGTAATGGAAGATAAAAAGAGACAGAATCACCTAATATGACATAGAAATAAGTACAATACAATGTCCTCTGATAGTCTGTGTGCAGGGTGTAATGGACTCGATAACCATTTCCATCTGGACTCATTCAGAAGACTTTTAAATAGAATAAAGCAGGAAAAAAAAAAACACCACTATAATCATAACATATAAATAGGATGACCATGCATCGTAGTTTGCCTGCAATAGCCTATGTTATGCCTGCTGTAAAAAAATAATTTTATATACTACCCATATTCACTTCTCACAGTTTGAATGAAACTTTGTTTTCCCTACATATGATCGGATTATTATTAAAACTATTAAATAATTCTTTTGAGAAGTGATCAAAGATTTCAACAGCTGGTTTAAATTGACATATATCTTCAACCCAAATACCCCAAATCAGAAAAATCCTAGTGATCACTTCCAAGGGTATGTGTAAACACTGTAAATATCTATCTTGCTTTGTTTTCATGACTATAAAAATTTAAGTCAAGTTCCACTGATGTAGCATCCCAAATATTCAGAAAACTTCTATTCAGAAAAGTTCTTAGCTCAATGGAGAAAATCAATTCAATTATTTTAATGAATAAATTTTTTAAACATTAACAATACAAAATTGGTCACAACTAGTGTATTTTATTTGAGACCACTGCAATGTAATTGTTATTATCCATTTTCATTTTCACCATCATGTCCAAACCACTGGAACTGGGCTGCCATTATACCAGTAACAGGTAATAACCTGCCCAGAGCAGGTCACATTTAAATCTAACACCAAACCCTACATCAAAAATTCTTCAGGGATGTCCACAGAATGATGAAGAAGCTATAAAAATCTTTGTGAAATATTCTTCTGTTTAATGTTTCAGGTGTTTAGACTTCCAAAAAAAAAAATCTTCTACTGTAATACAATCACTTGTCAAAGCTAAATAACTGATAGGAAAAAGAGTGACAGCCATGTGGAAACCACAAAATGGCAACTTCTCTTCTCAAAAATTCATAAGCCATTTCAGAAAATGTATTTGCACCTACTCATTAATAACGATAGGAATCAGCTATCTCTGCCAGCATCTATTGAGATTTTATTACTGGCAAAAGTGTTGGTTTTGAGGGTTTTTACATGGCACATCAGGGCAAGTTAGGTTATCATTAAATCAAGGGTAAATGATAAGAGACAGGATACCTATTCAAGCAGAAAAAAAGAGACTGACACAAAGAAGTGGCTGACTAAACAGCAGGCTAAATTTGCCAATACTAATCAAGAGGAAGTAACATCTGATCAAGAACAATGCTTTACGTCTCTACTGACTAAAACAAAAAGATTTAAAAACTCCAGTATCAGCCGGGGGCCTGTGATGTTTTATCAGTTCTTCCCATAACTTTGCTCTTATCCATAACCATGACTATCAATGAACCTTCTGGCACTAATTTGGATTCTTCAGGAACCTTGGGTCTAGGATATGAGGTGCTCTGCTCAATGAGCCTTCTAAAAACACTGGAAAAGAACATATAAATTAATAAATTTGCATTTTAACTCACAAACTCTTTATTTTATGAGTTTGGTTAACATGAGCCACTTTTTATAGATTACTCCCAACTCCCAAATTAGCCCTAGATCAGGGGTCTGCAAACTTTTCTGGTTTAGGGCCAGATAGTAAATATTTAATGTTTTGCAGGTAATAGTCTTGATATAATTTCATACAGTTGAGTCATAACTAGTACACTATGTCACTTTGAGGCAAAGCAGCTATAAACAAAATATCAACATGGCTGTGCTCTCATAAAACTGTTCCAAAAACAGGCAGTGTTCAGATTTGACTGGGCCTACCCTAGTCTGTGGACCCCTGGTCTAGATGAAGTATTTAAAAAACTAAAATTTAATGCATCATTTAAAACAATACTCTCCCCCCATATATAGACTGGAAACCCAATTAAAAGTTGTCACACCAAACTTACACAGAACTATTCAAACAGAATGTGGTGCTATTTATACTGTTAACTGTATGAATCCTAGCCCCTATGTGGAATGACTCTGAGTCCATAAAAATTTCAATACTCCTATTTTCATTTCCGTACGTGGCTGGCGGAATTCTATCTTCGCTGATGAAAATAAGTAAGCTAACAAACTTCTGAAAATGCAGATATTATGGCTCCAAGCCAGATCCACTGTATCAAATTGTTTGCTGGATTTGATCCTGAGCATTTTAAGTTCCATGTCATGCAAGGGTTGTCAACTACTGGATTTAGCCAAAAAAGCAATCAATAAAACAATGTATCAGAATATACTGAAACCACAACACAAATCAATTTTTATGTTGGAAACCTAAGAACCCACATTTTTTAAAAACTCCCCGACACCCTGGCTGGTGTGGCTCAGTGGATAGTGCGCCAGCCTGCAAATCAAAAGGTCTCAGGTTCAATTCCCAATCAAAGCATGTGCTTGGGTTGCAGGCCAGTTCCCCAGTAGGGGGTGTGTCAGAGGCAACCATACATTGATGACATTTCTCTCCCTCTCTTTCTCCATCTCTTCCCCTTTCTCTAAAATTAAATAAATAAAATCTTTTTAAAAAAAACACACAAAAAACCCTTCCCTGACTATTTATGAATTATCTGAAAAATACTGCCAAAGAAGAGACAGTAGATCCTTAGACTCTTTGTCACATCTCCTTAATGCTTTTGGCCTCACTATTTAATAATCCCTGGAGATTTAATGGGACAGCCACTAACAAAAAAAATAAAAATAAAAAATAAACTGGGTCAAATTACTGCCTTAGTATATAATATACATATCTTTTCAGGTTTATTATGCACATGTGTTCAAATACCCAGGGCTATTCCTACCTATTCAAATAGGAATAAAAACTCTTCAATATCAAGTCACATATGTATTTGAAACAAATATGAAGGTCTACTCTTTTCTTCACTAAAAACCAAACATTAATATTTATCACACCAGAAAAAGACACTTCTAACAAATAACACCCAATCTAAACACAGCCCCATTTTGCCTAAACAATTTTATAATTATTATAGCTAGAATGGCATTTATTTTTATGACACTACCATTTTTCAAAAAAAAAAAAAAAAAAAAAAGTTTATTCTAGAAATGGCATTTTGTTAAAAATCTAATTAAAATCTCCCCTGTCCCTGGCCTGGTAGCTCAGTTGGTTAGCACGTCATCCAGATGCACCAAGGTTGTGGGTTCGATCTCCAGTCAGGACACATACAAGAATTAACTAATGAATGCACAGATAAGTGTAACAACAAATTGATGATTCTCTCTCTCCCCTCGCCTCCCTAAAAATCAATTAAAAACAAAAAATCTCCCCTTTACTGCAACCCAGACTGAATCTACAAATAAAGGCTGGGACACTGTAGTACTTCACTGTTTAAATCACTTTACAACAGTAAGTGGAGCAAACTAACATGAATACACAATCACAAGACAATCTCATAAATTCTTACTGTTATCAGAGTAACGCCTAAAAAATTTTTAAAAATAGAATAACCTCTTGTGTTGTGTCCAAAAGCTATAAAACTATGATTAGCAGAAAATTTCAACCTAGTAAATACTACCTAGAAAATGATTCAAATACACTCTACACTACTGAAAATACAAACCTCAATGGAATAAACAAACGCACAGCATAAAAATATACACATGCTATGGCAGTTAAAAATTATGCTACAGGAGTGAAAAATAACATGTTTAATTTATAATTACTATTGTCAAAGAGCTTGATTTCCTTTAAGGAGAAATAAGGTATAAAATAACGACAACTTCTAAGTGATGAAGCACTGACATATATCCTTGAAACTTTTAAAAAATATAATCACATGTACATCATAAAATTATGATAAAGTTGAAGGACAACAAAGAAAGCATGACCACACATGATGTGTGTTTTCCCTCATCTTTTGTTACTTTTTTTTTAAAAGTATTATTCACCTGGCTAGTGTGGCTCAGTGGACTGAGTGCCGGCCTGCAAACCAAAGGGTCTCTGGTTCAACTCCCAGTCAGGGCACATGCCTGGGTTGTAGCCCAGGTCCCCAGTAGGGGGTGCATGAGAGGCAACCACATATTGATGTTTCTCTCCCCCCCTTCCCCTTTGTCTAAAGTAATATATATATATTTTTAAAAAGTATTATTCAAACACACAAAATATGGAAATCAGTATTTATGCTTCAAAGCTCATACTATTAGTTGGAATATTTCTAATAGAAATATTAGAAAGAACTGAGAGGTAGCATTTTAAACCAGGTAAATTTACTTTACTCTTTATTACACGGGGAGCTGAACACTTACCATTTGATTCCTCCCTTTAAACTGAACAGTGAGAAAGAGAAAACACATAAGAAGGCCTAATTTCAAGGCTTTTAAGAACAAAAATAAACATTAAAATTGTTTAATATTTTTTCAAAAGCCAGTTTTCAAAGTAAATATAAAATAACTAAAACAACTGCCTCAATGTTTTCTCCATCAACAAAAATATTCAAGACCTATAACAAGCTTTTCTTAGTATTTCTTTAATAATTGATTAGTGTAATTTAACAAGCATCAAGAAGCTAGAAGCCAAATAAAGCTGACAGCAAAATGATTAGAAACTTGTAACCATTAATTTCTAATCTCAGAAAAATCTAAAAATAGAACAAGAACTATTTTCCCCCAAAGATTTAATTCCATTGTAACATACTATTTTAAATATGGTTCTTCTTTAAAAAATTAAGAACACAGTAACTTTTATGGCCTAACATGAGTTATTAATTTATTTTTCAAAAAGTCACCAGCACTCCAGCCCAGGCTTCAGCAAACTTTTTCTGTAAAGGGTCAAAGAGTAAGTATTTTAGGTTTTGTGGGTCACAAATTTCTCTAATATTTTTTTCCCCACCATCCATCAAGTCTTTAAAAATATAAATACCATTCTTAGCTCTGCAGTAGGGTGGAAAAATTATCTTTAAAATACCAATAAATCCAACATGAGTACTTAAATACCAAATTTACTTAATTGCAATGTCCATTCAATTATTTTTACACTTTTGCCCACCATTAAAATGCATTTTAAACATAGAAGTGTTTTTAAATTAAAATAAGAATATGCAGTACTTCAACATTTCCAAATTGGTTTAAAACTATCTGTCCATTAACTATGCTTATATTAAATGCCACTGAGCATATTAAAACTCTATTATATGTTTTAACTGTAATGATTTCAAAGAATAGTCCGCAAACAAGTTTGTGATAAGTCAACTTAAATCAAGTTTAACAGGAAGATACATTTTAATCATTTCCTTCTAAGACCCTAAAAGATATATGTATGACATTATCACAAACAGCTACACATTTGCTCCAAGAATGTAAAGTTTATGCTAGAAAAATGTTAAGAGAGCTATTTCCACCCATTTTACTATAAACAAGGAATTTTAGTAAAAGAAATGTTCAGGTACATAAAGATTCAAGAAAAATTCCCTAATCCTCAATGGAACAAAATAAAGTTTCCCCAAGAAATAGATCGCATGGGGTTTACATCTTGACCATATTTGAAGAGAAAAATACTGACAACTAGTTTTCAAAATATGGGACTGAAAATTTAATTATACTTTCTCTTATAACATCAGAAAATATCCTCACATTGACAAATCTGACAGATTTATGTTCATCTGTAAGAGCCAAAAAACCTAAAATCATGGTTTAAAATATGTCACTGAGCAGGTCCCATGTACTCAAACATAAAAAGAAAATTACAGAATGTTAGAACTTACTGAAGACACTTTTAACAATGCTTTAAAAACCTACTCACTAATTTGGTGATGAATTTAAAAATCAATTAAATCAAACCTTTCATATCACTTAAATATAAAAACTGGTCTAGTTGAATTAAATTCCACAATTTTCATTCACTGGATTTTTATTTGATAAGAAGATAAAAATTTCTTGTTGATATACAAGTTAGAACTTATTACTAAGTGTGCATTCCTTCTAATAAGAAAGTTTAAAAATGTTCTAGGGAAAGAGGAACAGGAACAAAAAGGATAGGGGGGAAAAAAAAAAAGGGACATGAATGACCTGAATACTTTTAGCTTCACAAACTTACTAAATAATTATGGCTTTTAAACATCTAGAGAAAAAAATACTAGTAAATAGTTTTCAAACTGAGTTAAGCAGGCATTCACCTCAGGTGAACAATGACACTGTTGGTTACGACTAAGAACTTGCAAATTTTAACATTTGAAGTATTCTTGTTTGCCCTACCATCTTGCCTCCCTAGAACAAAAACCTGAGTCAGATCAACTGTCTGGAACTAACTCCAGTTTATAAGAAAGTCAGGAATGGAGAAACTTGACAACTGCCAAGAATACAATGAACAAAATTCAGTAAGACACTGTATACACAATGAGACTGTTTCTTTATTAAAAAAAAAGAAAGAAAGAAAAAGTAAAAATTAAAAAGAAGAGGAAAACCTATGAACTAAAAAGACTGGATCTATCAGACAATTTGAAGAAACAATTGTTTAAAAAGAAAAAAAGGCCCTGGTGAGTGTGGCTCAGTGGATTGAACACCACCTGCCAGCAAGCAGAAAGGTCACTCACTGGTTCCACTCCCAGTCAGGGCACATGGCTGGATTGTAGGCCAGGTCCCCAGATGTGGGCGTGGGACAGGCAATCCATCGATGTTTCTCTCTCTCCTTCTCCCTCCCTTGCCTTCTCTCAAAAAATAAATTAACTGAATCTTTAAAAAAAAAAAAAAAAAGTAAAAAAATTAAATTTAAAAAAATTAAAACCAGGGAAAGTTTGGGCTTTCATTAGTTAAAATTAAAGAACTGACAATTTTTAAGATATAAAGACATTTTTTTCAATGAATCCTATCATTTAGAAATACTTCTTAAAATACTGATGAATAAAATCATATGAAGTAAAGGATTTCATACAAAATAATTAAGAAAATAGATATACTTAAAGATTAAAAAGATCACCCATGTGTTGATAACTGTTATGATTAGGTGATGAACACATAATATTAACCTACTTTTATAGTGTCTAAAATCTTCCAAAATAAAGAATTTTTAATCTCAGTAAATGGTGGAAATTAGTCAAGTAGAGATGAATTTATAAAGATTTCTAATTTGGTAGCATATATTTTTAAAAAATAAAACAAAATTGAAGAAAAATTTAGCATCCATTTCATAAAATATGAGTATTACCTTCAGAAATTAATTCTAATTTAATACCTGAAAGAGGTTTAAAAAAATAATTAGTGTAACATAAAAACATAACAAATTCAGAAAGATAAAAAAAATACTAATATATAAAGCAATACCTAAAGAATTCTAAACATACAATGTCTACCTAACAGAAAATAATTTTAGTTAACTGGTATTTTACTTACATTTTCCATATAATTTGGCTTAAAGCCTTCTTGCTGTCGCCTCAGTTCCTCCTGTTCTCTGTGTCGAATCATTTCCTCTTCACGACGACGATGCTCTTCTTCATGTCTAAAAGATGTTTAAAGAAAATTTCAGCATGATTGCTTAGCAAGCCATGTTTTATTTCAGGTTAAACAAAATCATTTATGCAAGTTACATTATGTTAAGTCTGTCAATAATGACAGGCTTAGCAGATTTACCTTCCTCTATTTTGCTCTAAAATTTTAATAAATCAAATAAACCAAAGAAATAAAGTAACTAGGATAAATCCAAAAAAATGACAACGTATTACCAGGGTACTTAAATGTTTAGAGTAAAAAAAACTTACAGAGTCCAAAAGCTCCAATATGTACTCTGTTGCTGTTTAGAGAGAAAAGCCTGGGATCTATCACTGGCATAGGAGAGTTCAAAGAGACTGGGAATCTATCCCTATGTAAGCCAGTGCAAAAAACCATACTGCCTAGACAAAAATCCTACTATGTTGGGAAGGTCTTAACAAACCCTCTCACCACCATTTCAACAACCACTGAGGCAAGGGGTAGCCTACACCCTATTTTCGTAAATTTAGTTTTATAGAACAAGCATTTACTTACTGCTATGACCATTTAGAGCAGTACTCATTACTTGAGATACACCATATGATCTGCAAAACCTAAAACAGTATTTACTATCTAGCCTTTCCCCAAAAATGTTTGTCGCCCTCTTTCCTAGACGTATATTCAAGCATTAAGGGGGCAAAAAATCAAATTATATGTATATGCAGGATTACTATTAAATCAGTAATTAGTTATTATATGATTAAGAGGGAAACCTACAAAATAATATTGAAGTAATAGACTGACATTATATTGGCATTTAAATCAAATTCAAATATACATGCTCTCCACCCCAAAACAAGATAGTAATTTAAATAGTGAAGACTATATAATGTTGATGCTCTCTTAATAGGTCTCATTTTCCAAGTTACTCTTATATGCACCTTTCTACACTAAGTGTAATTCTCAAAATTCAAGAAACTTTGTTCTTTGTTGTAGAATACTGCCCATAATATAAGTCATTAAACTGAAAGAAATGGCGATATTTCCCACAGCCAGCACAAACAAGAGGCTATTAGGACTTCATGTCAGACCACATGCAATTAACAAGACAATGTTCCTAAGGAATTTCCATGTTCCTGAGGAATAGTTCAGGAATTCCTGAACTATTTTGAGAATTACGTCTAAGTTCCCAATATAAAACTCTACCTCAAGTAAATTGATTAACCCACTTAACGTTAAACACATAAATTTTACTGTTAAGAAAATACCTTCAGACAAATACCGTATGATTTCACTACAAAATAAATCAACAAAATCGAAACATTCATATGTAGAAAACAGACTGAGCAAAGGGGAGTTAGGGGACTGGGTGAAAAAGGTGAAGGGATTAAAAAATACAAATTGGTAGTTACAAAATAGTCACAAGGACAGAAAGTACAGCATAGGGACTAAAGCCAATAATACTGTAATAACTATGTATGGTGCCCTGTGGGTAAAATATCAGGGAGATATCACTGTGTAAAGTATATGATAGTCTAACCACCATATTGAAGAACTGAAACAAATATAAAATACCGCTGAATTTAAACTATCATTGAAAAATAAAATGTCTAGCCCTGGCTGATGTGGCTCAGTGGATTGAGTACTGGCCTGAGAAACAAAAGGTGGCAGGTTCAATTCCTGATCAGGGCACATTTCTGGGGTACAGGCCAGGTCCCCAGTACGGGGCGTGCAAGAGGCAACCACACACTGACATTTCTCTCCCTGTCTTTCTTCCTCCCTTCCTGTCTAAAAATAAATAAATAACCTTTAAAAAACAGAAGTTTCATATTCATGCACTGTTGACAATGTACAAAACAACAGGTAAAAACTCCCTTATTCAAAAACCTTAAGGCCACCTGTGTTTTCAAACTGAGTGCTTATTTTAAAAAGGGTCAATATACTATTAGTATAACCCCATTTGGATATGAGACAAACCCCACTAATCAACCACATTAATATTTATGCAGTAGAATGAACATTCAGTCTGTGAACATAGCTGTGGAAGAAAGGAACCAAATACTAAACCTGTCAAGCTCAGGAGTGTCCTGTTTGGCAGCCTTACAAACTCAAGAGACCTAAATTAGCCACAAAGGATAGTATGAAAAAAATTTTATTAGCCACAAGCAGTTAATAGCAAGTAGTCCTGTCCCAGGCAAGTATTTTTCCCTAACAAAGGTCAATCTTTACCTTAACTGAGCCAGTTTGTTTTCTTTTTGCATCTACAATAATATACCTTGGGAATGTCAAATTTCCTTTTTTCTGACCCCTCAAAGCAGAGGCACTGAGCTGGAGGAAGACCACAAATCCCCTCACTGTTATTGTTACATTAACTGTTAACTATCCTATACCTACCTGTGTCTACCATTTTACCTTTTATCCAATCACAGAGGTCTTCCCACTTTGCTGTCTCCTGCCTCCCTAATCTATCACCAATGGATTTCATGTAACCCTGTTATATCTTCTCTTTTGATTCTGTTTACAGTAAGATGCTAAATTGCCACTCTGGGGATTTTCTCAATTGGCTGAGATTTTGTTTTCTGGCAATTGTCATCAGCTTGGCTCAAATAAACTCGTAAAACTCTTACAGGTTTAGACATTTCTTACACTGGTAAAGTAGAGGTTGGACATGACCACAACATAAGTGCAGATCAGGTTTTATCTGATCCTACCACATAATGGCACATGAAAAGGCTTTTGGTTTTTAAAGCTTTTTGGTCTTTGAAACTACAACAATGACTTTGCTGAAGGCCAACTTGTAATATACAAGATAATTTTATATGTGCAAATCCATTTCCAATAAACTAAGCAGAAATATCTGCACAAGTATGCAAGGGTGCCTATACACCGTTTCCACAGATGTACATTGTGGAAAAGGTTGAAGACACAATTAAGTATTCATGGGGTACATTTATGGTCTCCTAATGCAAAGGAACACAATACAACTGTTACAAAGAGGTGAATTTGCATATACAGACATAAAAGAATGTCTAAGGTACAGCTGTCAGAAAAAAGAAAAAAGGCAAGTACAAGAATGGTACTCCTATAGCTGCCGTTATAAATCACTCGTATGTCTTTGGCCCATGTGGCTCAGTTAACCAAAGGTCACATGTTTGATTCCCAGTCAGAGCACATGCCTAGGTTGAGGGTTAAGTCCCTGGTCAGGGCATGTACCAGAGGCAGCCCATCAATGTTTCTCTCTCACACTGATGCTTCTCTCCCTCCCTTCCCCTCTCTCTAAAATCAGTAAGTATGTCCTCTGCTGAGGATAAAAATAAAAAATTTAAAATATAATTTGCATGAGCACAGAAGAGAGTATAAAAAAGTTTACATCACAATGGGACTATCCAGGGAACAGGAGCATTGCCCTTTTTATTCTACACACAAATGCAGCATGTGAATTCTGTAATATGTAACATTTTAAAATAAATACCATATAAAGTATTTTTTTTAATCCTCGTCCAAGGACATGTTTACTGATTTTTAGAGGAAAGAGGAGAGAGAGAGGGACGGAAGGAGGGAGGGAGGCAGGGAGGGAGGGGAAAGAGAGGGAAACATTGATTGGTTTCCTCTTTTAAGCACCCTGATCAAGGATCAAGCCCACAACCTAGGTTATGTGCCCAGACCAGGAATCTAACTGCAACCTTTGGTGTAGGGCTGACACTCCAACTGAGCATCCTGACCAGGGCCAAATAAAGTATTTTAAACAAAATTTAAAATGTACTTCTCCTACTGCTAAAGCAACTTTTTCTGACAACATGAAAACAGATTTATAAATCAGGGGAAAAAAATAGTAAAAAGGCATTCACTTTAAACATTTTCTTCTATTTTTTCCTTTTTCCTTCCTTTCCTTTCTCCATAAATACCAAAGTTTCTTTTTTATTTTGAACTAAACTGTGATTATACCACACTGACAAGTCCATAATCTAAATTCATGGACTACAAACAGGAACATTCCTTATTGTACATATGCTGCTTGGCCTTTTTTCCTAATCCACTAATGCTTAAATCATCATCTATAGCCATAAATGGAACTAATAAGAAATTGTGACAAATTTTAACATCCTTCTTGTTATATATATAATTGAAACCGATAAAAACCTAAACTTTAAGACTTATTTTGATTTGAAGCCCACTAATTGTTTTCAGGTCTCATATATCTTTGTAGGACTCTGAAAAATGAGAGGCTTTAGGCACTAAGCTGTAATATGACTAGTGAGAAAAGTCCTGTTGCTCTTTGTTCTTGTTCAGCACTATGCCCTGGACACCTTTCACAGGATATTTATGTCAAATGACATAAAGGGGAAAGAATGGTGGATGAGGAGGTGAGGGAGTAGGAGAGTAGTCAGAGAAGGAATGAAAGAATAAATGAACAAACAACGGATGAACAACTACTAAGTGAACTAGCACATCTAACTTCTTTGTCCTGGCTTCCTTCTTCACCGAAACAGCCTCTGACGAACTAAGTGTCCCACGAAAAACAAAATTAATTTGTAGCATTGAAAGGAAAACTACAAATATATATACTCCAAATAAATCATATAATTTCTCTCAAAATATACTTTCTTAAACTAGTTTTTTCCATTTTCCAACTAATTTAAAACAAAAAGGCAGAGTCCCAACTATCTGGCCTGTTAACAATTCATGATTCTTACATGGCAGCAGCCCAGTCAGATATCTCTGCAGTTATACTGCTCGTGTTTGATTTGCTTTGCCTTAAAAGTATTATTAGTATGAAATTAAGTTCCCAGACACAACAATTTTTTCCTTCCCTAGACACACACTACAAAAACTACCAATTTTAAGACAAGTTGTTCAAATTCCTAAATCAAGATTCTCACAGTAATTTCAAAAGTAACTCCCCACCTCCAGGCACAGGGTAAGCTTGTTAACAAATGTGTCACTGCCCATATCTGCTATAATGTAAACAAGCATAAAGATTTACCATCCAATTATCACTCAATAGAGTTATTTTTACTGTTAGTATATAGTTATCTGAATTTCAAACTGAATCTGAGAGAACCCTGCACATTAAATAAAATTAATGAAACACCAATTATAAAATTACCATGCACGAAGAATGCTTACCAAGTCAAGCAACAAATATTTCACCTTTATGAGAGACTAGAGAGCCTATTAAAAATTCAAAGAAGTACTCCATACTAGTTCTATGCACTTTACTTGCTTTTCAATAATCTGATTATTCCAATTTATATCTGCTTCCCTCCTATATGACTGTAGGTTCCACAGTGGCAGGACTTGTGTTTTGTTTCCCTCTGTATCCCCAATACCTAAGGTACTTTTTCTTTTCTTCCCCTTACTGCTAATTTTAAACTTACAGAAAAGTTGCAAAAATGGTGTAGAGTTCCTACATATTCCTCAGGCAGTATTCCCTAATACTAACACCTTACATAACCATGGTACAATGATGAAAAACAGGAATTAACAGTAATCTAATGTTACAGTTAAATTACAGATCTTATTCAAATTTTACCCATTCTCCCCACTAATGTCTGTCTTCTGTACCAGGACCATATCCAGAATCCCACATTGCATTTAATTGTTGTCTCTCCTTAGTTTCCTCCAATCTGTAACACTTCAGTTTTTCTTAAATCTTTCATAAACTTGGCACTTTTAAAGAAAACTATTTTGTATAATGTCCTTCAATTTGGGTCTGCCTTAAGTTTTCTCATGACAAGCATAAGGTTATAAATTTTTCGCAAGAAAACCACAAAAATGACACTATCCTTCTAAGTGCATCATATTAAGGGGGCCTAGTATCAATGTCTTATTACAGGTGACATAAACCTTAACACTTGGTAATGGTGGTGTCTGCTAGGTTTCTTCACTTTAAGTTTACTGTTTTTCCCTATGTACGTAATACAAACGAGACTATGCAAATCCTGTTTCTCAAATTTTGTATTATAACTTTGGCACCCATCAGTAGCCCATATGTGTAACAATCATCACTGCAGTGTTTGTAAGTGTTTGTCCACTGGTAATTCTCTCTCATTCCTTCCCCATTTATTTTTAAGATTTTATTTATTTATTTTCAGAAAGGGGGAAAGGAGGGACAAAGAGAGCGAGAGAAATAGTGATGTGTGAGAGAGGCATCCATGTACGGGAGAAACATCAACCAGTTGCCCCAACTGGGGACCTGGCCCACAACAGGCATGTGACCTTGACAGGGAATTGAAACAGCAATCTTTCAGTTCACAGGTCAGAGCTCAATCCACTGAACCACACCAGCCAGGGCCTGCATTTTTTTAACTGGAATTCTACTTTAAAGATGAAGCTGTTCTCCACACATTCTCCTCTGTTTATTTATTCATTCATTTATCTACTTACTACAGTCATATGGACTCATGGATATTTATTCTACAATTTAAAATCTAACACTATTAGCCCTGGCTGGGTAGCTCAGTTGGTCAGACCATCATCCCAATACACCAAGGCTGCAGGTCGAATCCCTCGTCAGGGCACATACAACAAGCAACCAATGAATATATCAATAAGTGGAACAATGAATCTATGTCCTTCTCTCTCTCTCTAAATATCAAGACATTAATTTTAAAAATTTAAACCTAACACTATCATTTTTTACTTTATTATTGAAACGATTCCAACTTTGGACATTAGGGGCTCCTTCAATTTGGCTCCTGTATTCTTTCCACATGCCCCATCCTTTTTCAAGTATGTTCTTAATGTCTGGCAAAAATATTTCAAGCTAATCTTAAACTTTTCAGTCCTAGAAATTAACCACTTCTCTAAATAATTCTCTGCTGTGGGGCTGTCTTATGCATTGGATGATTTTTAGCAGCACCCCTGGCCTCTACCCACTAGAAGCCAACAGAAAGAGATAGCCGACGTACTCAAGATAAACAAATCTATAAAGTTATTGGTGAAAATGAAAAATGTATCTTTCATTTTATGGAAAAAATTAAACAGACTTTTGGCCAATCCAATACTATATCTAATACCAAGTGCATAATGGAAGTGTTGGGAATAAGGAACACTTTGTAAAGTGTATGACTGTCTAATCACTCTGCTGTACACCTAAAACTAATACAACATAATACTGAATATAAATTATAATTGAAAAATAAAATTTTAAAAAATACCACTAACATCATATTAAATAAGTATGAACTGGTTAAAAAAACCTGTCAAGTATAAATATAAGAGGAGAAAGCTGGATTCAGTCAGGGTTTTGTTTTTGTTTTTTGTAACAGAAGCAGAGATTTCTTTTCCTTTGTAAAAGTAAAACAAACTTTACCACATTTACATAAAAAAGGAAAGAAGCAGTAAGAAAGGCCCTGAAATAAAAGTCCAAAGCCCTGTGTAGTGTGGCTCAGCGGGTTGGGAGTCATCAGGCAAAATGAAAGATCCTAGGTTCAATTCCTGGTCAGGGCACATGCCTGGGTTGAGGGCCAGGTCCCTCGTTGGGAGCTTTGCAAAAAGCAACTGGTAAATACTCCTCTTGCACATCACTGTTTCCCTTTTTCCCTCCCAAATCTCTCTTAACAAGTAAATAAATAAATAAATAATTTTTTTTTAAAGTCCCTCACGTAAGTTAGTTGATGTGGGGATCTGTATACAATAGTGACTCTGAAACTTCAGGTTGTACCAGAACTACCTGGGTAATTTATTAAAACTCAGCTCCTATTGTTTATGGGGAGAAGTTTGAGGCTTTCTAACAGTCTCCCAGGTTAGAATTCTGGTGCAGCCTGTCCAAGTATGTTAAAGTAAAATCAGAAAAGTTCCAAGACAGAAACGTATACAAACCAGGTACAACATTGAAAAAAAAAAAAAAAATTAAAATACACTGAATACTGCCTATCATCCCCAGAATGTGAAGACACTTCACACTTATGGTTTTGTGCTTTCTGCTTGATCTTTTATTTCTTATGAGCACCTTACTTCCTACACAAGCGTTTACTACTTTTATAATATTTTCAAAAACAAATTTCAAGTTTACTTTAACCATAGCTTTGTTCATAACATTTATCTCATTATATTCCACAAGTAAATACTGCAGGTACATGGAAACCTGTTAATTTTTGTTTATACATAAAGCCACTTATAGAAATGCTATCATAGAAAAACAAATTAAAAATAAGAGAAATTGGCCCTGAGATGTGGTTCAGTGGCTTGAGCACCAGCTTGCAAACCAATGGGTTTCCAGTTTGATTCCCAGTCTGGGCACATGCCTGAGCTGCAGGCCAGGTCCCCAGTAGAGGGTGCGCAAGAGGCAACCACACATTGATGTTTCTCTCCTCCCTTCCTCCCTCCCTTTCCCTGTCTAAAAATAAATTTTAAAAATTTTTTTAAAAGAGAGAGAAATTAAAGTAAATCATAGTGCATTCTTACAAAAAATTATATGCAATAAATGCCTAGGCCTCATATGTAAGGTCACAGTATATACAACCAAAATGTCAATAACCAATTAAAATATCATGAGAACTGCCCTGGCTGGTGTGTCTCAGTGACTGAGTGCCAGCCTGCTAAACCAACCAGTTCAATTCCCAGTCAGGGCACAGGCCTGGGTTGCAGGCCAGGTCCCAGGTAGGGGGTGTATGAGAGGCAACCACACACTGCTGTTTCTCTCCCTTTCTTTCTCCCTTCCTTCCCCTCTAAAAATAAATTTAATCATCCTGTTTCTTTTAAAAAAGAGCTTTTCCAGTCCTTTAAAGAAAGAGGTCTCCTATTCTTTTTAAAATAAAAAAAAATCATAACAACAACAAAGAAATTATGCTAGTTTGTGGAGTAATTGCCCAAGCACAGTAAAAAACAGCCAGTTGTGTTTGTATTTTCCAACCTGTACAATCCCTTCCCAATGGAAGAGTGAAGTTTTATTAGTAACACATAAGAACTATGTGTATTCAAATCTATGTTATAATGTTATTTTTGTTTTCTGGTTTTGTTTTTTTTTACCTCAGTTGTATTTGTTTCCGTTTTTGCAGCTCTTGGTTCCTGAGTTCTTCCAGGCGTCTGAGTTCTTCTTGACGCCTCATCAAATCTATAAAAATATTAATTACCCATTAGTATTATGCGGCTGCCTTGTGTATTTTTATATTGATGAACATACAGACTCTCTATTACTGGCAATATATAATGTATTCATACTCATGCATCCAGTATTTATGTATTAAATCATCTCTATTAAAAGATTAGAAACTGTGTAACTAATTAATCAAATTAATATCCTTTCTGGGCCTGCGTCTTCATGTACATGAAGAGAATATTAAAATTCATGCTTTTGTTCAGAAATTAAAATAGGTTATCTTTTTTTTAACACAGGGATTAAAACATACTAAAAACAAAATAAATGATAGCTGTATTTTTACTTACATATTTTAAACATATTAGAATTTTTCAGTAGCAAGTGCAAAGTCCAAAAAGATGCACTGGGAGACATCAGCAGAGGTCAGATAAGAACTAGACTAGACCAGACCAATGGAAGGAATAGCAGTAAGACACTGCATAAAGCCCAAATATCATCCCTCACAACACAATTAGTATAAGATTCCTGCTACACCAAGTCAGTGTCTTAGGACAAAAGCCAATAAGCAAAGAATTCCTGAAAGAGGAAAAAGACTGCATACTGCTATGAACAAGATCATTTTAAACAAGAAGCATTCCCACTGACACCGTACTTTCAGTATCAAAAACAGGGGCTCCACAGTAGTATAAGATAACAAAAAGTACATTTGTTTTGCACATGTGCAAAAGAGTGGGTAAACTTTCCAAGTGCTAAAAATCTTTGTAATATCTTACCAGATTATGTGTGCATACATGCAGATTAAAAAATGTAAATATGTAAAAAGTAAACATAATGAAATGTTAAACAGAATCTAAGTCATGAACACCTTGATATTTGTTCAAGTTTTTTTGTTTAAAACTTCTCATAACAAAATGTTAAATGGGGAAACATTCTGGGTAAGTTACTTGACTTTAAAAAGAAAAATTTCATATGGAAGCCTGACAAAAGGATCAAGTCACTTACAAGGAGGGGAAAATTCAGGCTTATTTCAGACTTTCTCACAGAAGCATTCAATGCTAGAAGACAATGAAAAATGCTATCAAGTACTTAAGAAAAAAGAGGAGCAAAAATCCATGAATTTTAACCATTCAACCATCAGTTTAAAGTACAAGGATCACAGAGTGCTTCAGAACATGCAAGAACTCCAGGAATACTGTTTCTATAAACTCTTCTTCAAGAAATTATGAGGATAAAAATAACACAATCAAATGATGAACAGGAAAGTCTTAACTCATAAAACACATGAGGATTAAGGTTAAAGAACATTATGTCAAAATGAAAACATAATATTGAAGAAAGAATCCTGGCTGGTGTGGCTCTGTGGACTGAGTGCAAGTCTACAAACCAGAGGGTCGCAGGTTTGATTCCTAGTCAGGGCATGTGCCTGGACTGGGAGCCAGGACCCTGGTGGGGGGCGCATGAGAGGCAACCACACACACATTGATGTTTCTCTCTCCATCTTTCTTCCTCCCATCCCCTCTTTTTAAAAATAAATAAAGCTTAAAAAAAAAAAACTGAAGAGATAGCTGAACTTTCACATTTATTGCAGTATTATTCATACTAGGCAGTAGGTAGAAAAACCTAAGTGTCCATCAACGGATGACTGGATCAAGACGTGGTATAAGGAGGATAAATGGTGATGGAAGGAGACTTGTCTTGGGGTAGTGCACACAATACAATATACAGATGAGGTAGTATACAACTGTACCCCTGAAACCTATAATTTATTAACCAATGTCACCCCAATAAAGTCAATAAATTATGTATGAATATAAAAACATGTGGTGTATACGACATACGATGTGGTAATATATATACAAACACATGCTCACATATATACACAACATATGTACAAAAAATATACATACACACAAAGGAATATTATTCAGCCATGAGAAATATAGATTATCTTAGCAAATTTTTCTAAATGCTGATACCCTGCCATTTAAAACAACATGGATGAACTCTGAGGGTATCATGCTCAGTGAAATAAGCCAGAGGAAAACAAATACTGCATGGTATAACTTACACCTGTAATCAAATAAAAGTCAAACTCAAAGAAATAGTAGAGTACAAATGTGGTGGCCAGGGGCTGAGAGGGGAAATGGGAAGAAGTAGGTAAAAGGGCACCAGTTAAAGATGAATGAAGTATGGGGATCTAATGTATAACATGGTGAAAACTACAGTTGATAACACTGTATTATATAATTGAAAGTTGCTTAAAGAGATTAGAACTTAAATATTCTCACCAAAAAAATAAATAAAACCAGCTTCATACTTTAAAAAAGTCAATGTCATAAATCCAGACAAATTGGAAGCAGAATTAATAAAAGCTGAAGGGGACAAGAATAAGGAAGGGCTGAATATGCCTATTTCCTTGTTATTTTTTCTTTGGTAACCAGGAATCAAAAGATATAATTTACAGGAAATATATTTCTATTACTTGATTTATCCATACAAAGGCATACATAAGGAGAAATCAGAAATAAGAAGAATATCAAGAAAAATCCGGTAATGCCAAAGTGAATAACAACAGCAAAGTGAGTGTTAGAATTAACATTATCCACTGAGTTATATAGTTACATACCAAAGGTAACACAAAAATAAGAAAATTCGGGAACTGCCTACTATACTTACAATCAAACACAGACACATAAAGAAAACAACCTATAATGAGTATAAAGGGATCTGGATCTAGAAAGAACTAAATAAAGTAAAAATAAAGCAATTATTAAAAGTACTGGTATGTCCATTAAGAACATTTACAAAAATTTGCTAAGACATATGCTAAGACATATACATAAATATTCACTGCAGCACTGCTTTCTCTAACAAACTAGAAATAGAATTAGATGTCAATCAGGGGAAGATGAGCCAAATTAATTACAGCTATTTAACAGAATATAGTGCAGCTATTTAAAAAATGAGGCAGATTTATACAGGATCTGGCAGAAGTAATTCATGCTTGAATGTGGATGGTAGGGAAATAATATGGGTGTGATAATTTATAGTTTTAATTTGAACATTTCACCTAAAATGTCATATGGTGTGCTTGAATGTGATACCGTTACAGAATTATATACTTACGATTTTTTAATAAAATGAAGGGACATTATTTGTGCAGGACCCTGTATTTATGTACCCATATAGAAAGTAAATTAAGCAAGATGCAGAAAAAGATTAACAGGGGCTTTTTTTGTTATAAATATATACATCTACCAAGATACGCAAGAATTTTTTTCTCCACTGAAAGATACAAAAGCCCTGATTGGTGTGGCTGAGTTCGTTGGGCATCGTCCCACAAAGTGAAAGATTATCAGTTCTATTTTAGTCAGGGCACATGCCTGCATTGCTAATTTGGTCCCTGGAATGGGTGCCTACCTAAGGGAGGCAACAGATCAATGTTTCTCTCCCTCTCCTTCAACCTCCCTTCCTCTCTCTCTAGAAATAAATATATAAAATATTCGAAAAAAATATACACAAAAGATGCCCTGGCTGGGTGGCTCAGCTGACTGGAGCATCATCCTATATACCAAAAGGTTACAGGTTTGATCCACGGTGAGGGCACAGACATAAGCTATGGGTTCAAACCCTGGTGAGGGTACATGCTGGAGGCAACCAATCAATGCTTCTCTATCACATCAATGTTTCCCCCCCCCCCCTCCCACCTCAACCTTCTTTATCTAAAGTCAATAAACATCCTCTGGTGAAGATTAAAAAAAAAAACACACACACACTAAAAATATGAAAAGACGCCCTGCCCTCGTAGCTCACTTGGTCAGAGCGTCGTCCAGATACTCCAGGTCGAGGATTCAATCCCCAGTCAAGGAACATGCAAGAATCAACCAATGAATGCATAAAAAAAGTGGAACAATAAATACATGTTTCTCTTTCTCTCTCGCCCTTTCCCCCTCTCTAAAAAAAAGAAAAAGAAAAGAAACTTAAATACAGAAGAAATAGTGACTCCCACAGAAAACAGAAGGTGAGGTAAGGAAGGAGGGACTTTTTTGTACTGTTTGATGAGCTTTCTCCTTCCTTGCACAATAGGTCAACTGGAGAGCCCTGTGTTTCTGCAGACCCATGAAACTCAAATTACCTAAAGTCCTTCGCTCATCTGAATACACCCTTAAAATGTTAGATGAAATATAATTGTAGATCAAAAAATAAAAAATTATAAAATTTTAAACAAACTAACAATCAAAAGAATTGATCACCTGCAAACTTTTGCCAAAATAAATACAAAATGTACATCAGAAGAAAACCCAGAATCACAGAATGGGATACATTAAGCATGCGCTTTTCTAGTATTATAAACCAAAATATGTTACCAGGGTTTATCAATAAACACACAAAAAGCAATTAAAATAAAAGCTCATGGAAAATAACCACAAAATTACTCTCCTTCAGAAATCAAAATGCCTTATAGGGGTGAGGTAAAGTTTTCTAAGAGCTCACAAGAGCTCTTTGAGGCATAAAGAAATATTCCTCTTTGTCATCAATAAATCCTCAGTATCTCACACAGCGTCTCCTACAACTAACTTTAAGTACGAGTTGAAGTAAATGACTTATATTACTGTCAGCAGCAGCAACAAAATATTTTTAAACGCTTTCACTTGTTATTTCCTAGCCATGTTATGATTACAGGTAGTGGGAAAATGCTACTGCAAAGGGTCTAGCAGGCAATTCTTACAGAAGTGCTAAAATAATCATGGAGCCTAGGAAACTAAAGTTTTTAAAATTTCCCAGTTCATTCCGGTGTGTAACAAAATTTTAAAACCACAAAACCATCAGACTGAATGAACTTGAAGCTCTCTCTTCCAGCTCTAACAAGCAAATGATTCTTGACTTTATCTTGCGTAACAATTTTCCAATTTTCTGCAACAGACTTTATCTTTAAATGTAATACATGATATGAATAAGTTTGGTTTTATTAGAAAACACAGAACTGCTAAGTTTAGGGTCCAAATTAAAAGAAATATCTGACTAGTTTCTACTGTTTCTTGAGCTGGATTTTGCTTTAACTTATATGGCATCAGCACAGTTATTCAGTGACATGATCATAACTGCTCAATAAACATTTACTGAACCCCAGATTTTTACTCTAAAGGAAATGAGAATCCACCAAAAGGATTTAGCGATTGAATAGTGATCAACTTTCCACCTTTCAAAGAAATACTGGCTCTGGTATTTAAAAAATGGTTTAGAGGAGGATGACAAAAAATCCAGTAAGAAAACTGCCACAGTAATCCAGGCAAGCATCTGTGGGGCCTTGATCTCTAGGAGCAGCCAAGTGACAGTAAAACATTTACTAAAATGCTAACGTTAAAAAAAACAATAGCAGCCCTGGTCAATGCGTCTCAGTCTACTGGGGCATTGTCCCGTAAATCAAAAAGTCGCAGGGTTGATTCCCAGTCAGGGGACATGCTTTGATTGTGGGTTGGTTCTCCAGCTAGAGCATCGGCAAGGGGCAACCAATCAGTATTTCTCCTATCAATGTTTCTCTCCCTCTCTCCCTCTCCTCTCCTCTAAAATCAATAAGCATGTCCTACTGTGAGGATAAAACAAAAACAAAAAATTTATGAGCAAAATAATAGAAATAAATTAGATGTTTATTTTAAGAAATACAAAACTATTACAGATAGCAAAAAGACGAGTGATAGGAAGAACCAGAAAAGATCATTTGGAGAATTAAAGAACAAAAAAAGGGGAGGGGAGAAATAATAAAGACAGGCATAAAAGGAAACCTAGAAAGAGGAAAAGTGGACAAAAAGTGAGCTTCTGGAATATATTTAAACAGCTTATCATGCCCTGACTGGTGTGGCTCAGTGGGTTGGGCACTGTCCCACAAACTGAAAGGTTGCTATTTCGATTCCCAGTCAGGGCTCACATCTGGGTTGCAGGCCCCCAGCTGGGGGCACATGAGAAGCAACTGGTTGATGTTCCTCGCATATCAATGTTTCTCTCCCTCTCTTTCTTCCTCCCTTCCCCTTCCTCAATAAATAAAATCTTTTTGAAAAAGAAAAAAAATAAACAGCGTGTCATGTTGTTAGGTATTTGACCAGTAAAAATGAGAGTAAACTATCATCTGTTATGACTGTTTAGAAAATCAGTTAGCTCAATCTCAACTGTTTAAAATGTTAGAATCTGGTATTCCTGAATCCACATATCCACCAGCACACAAGGATTTTTTTTTTTTTTTTTTTTTTTAACGGTATGTATGAGACCAAGCGTCCCTGGCTGCTAGAGAAGTATGGCAGACAGGTATAGTTAAGAAACAACTTTATTTTGAGCAGGGGGAACGACAACACAGCACTTAACAGCTATATTGTAGTTTGAATCCTGCTTTAGGATTTTTTTTTTTAATCTCTGCCAAAGAATATCCATTTGTAATCGTTTGGTATGTGGTACTAATCTTAAAGAGACAGCATTTGTCTTAATTCTTTCCAAGAAAAAAACATCTTGATGTGTGACTTTCAGCCATTATCTACATACCAAAAATTACCTATTGTGCTTTCCTTTTTTTGCCAGTAGAATCATGTGTTGGATACTGGCAAAATTTAACAATCTAAATTATCTCCAACAACACTACTTGCATAGGGAAAACTTGCTGTTTTTTTAAAAAGACGTTCTCTAAAAAAAGGGATATATTTTTCTAATATGTTGAGTTCTAACTGTCTCTAAACTCCTAACTGGCAACTTAAATAGTAACAGATGTCAGTAGGAACTATAAATGAACCTCAAGAAAAAGAAATCATAACCCATCTACATGAACCCACTTTACCTTGCCTCATCAGCATTAACTGGTGCTCGTGCCTGGCCGCTTCCATTTCTGCCTCCAGCTTCTCTTTGGCCTCTCTTATGTTTCTGTCAACCTGCTCACGCTGCTGCTTCTCCATTTCATCAAGAGCCTTCCATCGAGATGCATACTCAAATTCAAACGTCCCAGGCTGAGCGAAACGTGGTGGCTGTTCCCGTTCCCTAAGTTTATATTTAAAAAGAGACAGAAATGTATGTTTAAATGTTAAAACAGCTAAAAATAACAACCATTCACTGAGCCTTTACAATGTTCATGGCACTTTGTCAGTCAATACTCTACATGAGTTGCCTCATGGCAATACTGCGATGAGGATTTTAGTAAGTCTGAGTTTGAGAATCTGTCCAAGGATGAGCAACTAATAAGCAATGGAACCAGGATTCAAAACTAGACAATTGAATGCTACAACCTGTACTCCTCTAATTATCACCTCCAATAAGGCCTTTCTGGTATTCAATCAACAAACAATGTTACATAAGGCAACCTGCAACAGATGAATCAAATGTGCTCCCTGCCACCTATAATCATTCTTTTCTATAAGTGGTAACTTTTACGCTCAGTAGTAAAAGCAGGGATAATTTATTAAATTTTATGTACCAGGTTAATTGGTTAGGCCCAAAAATAAAGACCTAACTTCTGTAATTGTAGTTATTTGATAAATACTTGTTTCCCTTGCTATACTGTATACACAATAAAGACAGGAATGTCTGTTAATGGCTGTACCTCAAGTACCCACCACAGTATCTGGCATGTTGTATACATTTAATATTTCTTAAATAAATGTTAAGCTAACAAATAACCTAAACCTCTTTAAAAATATACTTGTAGGAAAATACCTGAAATGCAAAGAAATTTTCAATTATATTTGCCTATCATAGCTTCAATTAGAAAGTACTGGTAAGAACACAATCCCTACCCCACCAATAAAAGTATATATGCCTTGCATCCATAAACTTTAACTTTTCTTTGGCGGTGGGGAGGGGAATATGGGTGGGTGAGTAGGACAAAGTTAGGAGAAAACCACAGAGGCTGTCACAGAGGAAAAGGCACAGTAACAAGAAACAGCGTCAAGGATAACCAGAGGTATAAATCAAAATTAACCATGATCTAGGTAGTTTAACCCTAAAAAACAGACTTGTATTTTGTTCTTTTTAAAGCACTCACCAGGAAAGGGAAAGGAATAGGTGGATCTACCACCTAGTGGCTTTTTGAAAGAATTGTTTATTAGTCAGTAGTTCCTAAGTCAGACACTGATGATAATAACAAGTATTAAAAATCCTTTTTTCTCCGAAGAGAAACACTTTTGAAACAATATGGATTTGAGGGGTTAGAAATGATTTGAATGATGGTTCTTGTGCTTTGTGAACATTTCCTTCTGAATATAACCCCCAAGTAGTAAAACTGGGACTATATATAACAAGATCTTATAGGTTTGCTGGGACAGCTGACTCACTATATAAACAAATATTGTCTATAAATTCCATTTCTTATAACTGCTGATAATTCCATTTCTTATAACCCTTATAATTCCAGTTCTCTAATTCCTAAATACGAAAGTATACTCAATTTCAAATTTGTAATGATAGGTCATAACCAGAAAAAAAAAGTCAAGGGAACAAGATATCATAGTAAGTCTTTTAAAAATAGTATGAAAGAGATTTAAATGGCTATGAATTACAACTGATTACTACTAATCCTGCTTCCCTGCAATAATTTATTTCTTTGCTTCCAAGACACACTCTGCTGGCTGTCCACCCTACTCCAATGACTGCTCTCACTCAGTCTTTGCCGATTCCTTCTGATCTTCCCAAGCTCTATATACTGGCGTATTCCAGGGTTCAGTCCTTTGACACAGTTTTCTATTAAATGAGACAGCTCATCTAAAATTCAGATGAAAATCCAACTACTGAGTCGCTATTCCACCGGAATGTTCAAAAGGCCTCTCAAACTTAACATGTCCAAAACAGAGTTCGTAATCTTCCTCCACCAATCTGCTCCTCCTACAGGAGTTTCCAAAACATTAGTAATTTCCACATGCTGAACTGTTTCTCCCATATGCCCATTATCATTCAGCAAAATCCAAAGTCTACTTTCAAACTATATCCTGAATCTCACCACTTCGCACTATTACCATTATAACTACTATTCAATGTCCACAGGCTCCAGAACTTATCTCCCCAGCTCTACCCTTGATCCTTTATAAGCTACCCTAAAAACAAAGCCAGCAAGTTCCTGTTAAACTTAAGTCACTGCTTTGTTCCTTTCTCATAAAATACAAACGCCAAAATCAGATGGAATGTGTGCAAAACCTAATAATCTGCACTCCTCTCAATGTCACTCTCTACGTCATCCCTACTATTTCTCCCTTACTCACCATACTCCAGCTGAACCAGCCTCTTTACTGTTCCCAGATGCCAGACAGAGTCCTCTCCACTTCTGCAAGCTGTACAGCCAGCTTCTCTCCCAACCCCCTTCAAGCTGTCTCCATCATATATTACTGTCTCAGGTAGGCTTTCCTAATCGCATGTAAAAGAGCCATAGTCCTCTGCTCCCCAGCTCTCACTTTTCCCCATCTTTTCACCAACCCCCTTACCACCCTACCCACCATGACTTCCTAGTCTATTGTGTTCACTGACACATCTTTAGCACTAGGTATAGAGCACCTACTCTTGTCATTTGAATTACTGAATGAAAAAACATTCAACTTTACTAAAAGAATGCTAATTAAAATAACGTGCATAAAATACCATTTTGAATACAGACTATTAAATCTTAAAATCCTAACATCCATTTGTCAGAAGAAAAATACTTCTATACAAACACCAATGAGAATAAACTGATACAATATTCCTGGAGAACCATTTGTCATTATCAGTCAACTTTAAATATGCATGCTTTGTGATCTAAGCCTTTATACCTCACTTTAGTGGTTCTCTAAATAGTACTTCTCACTACTTAATATATGTTTTATAATCTTCGGTTCATTATTTGTACTTTTTTTATTTTTTGTTCTTATTTTCTATTTTATGGTTCATTATTTATCGTATGTATTCACCACCAGAAATGTAAACATCGTGAGAACAAGAACAGTGCCAAGCTGCACTGGTAGCACCTAGAACGGTGCCTGGCACAAATGCATTCCAATGTTTGTTCAATTCATGTTACAGTTTATTATGATAAATAAGTAAATAGTTAAAATGTATACATACAGGCAACATTAAAAGTTGTATCATACTGAATGAAAAGCAACTGGTAAAATAATATACAACATTTTGCCAAGTTATTTCTATAGGACCTCCCCACTCAACCTCCCTGCAAGTCTCCTTTTTAATTTATACCTGAATCATAGTAATTAAAGAAACATTTTCATAATATGTAGATTTCATTGTTACTCTAGCATAAAAATTACTGCCAGTCTCCTCCTACCTATAGACTCTGCCAGTTATAAAAGTATACTTTTCTAAGTATTCAGTTGATGTTTCAACCATATAAAGAAAATTAGCATTCCATGTAGACCAAGCCACTCTAAGAATCAGATTATATGAACGAACAGAACATCTTATAAGTCAACAATACTTGAAAACAAATGTGATATAATAAATATCCTTGATGGCACATATCTAAAACATCTTTATTGCCCTGGCCGGTATGGCTCAGTTGGTTGGAGCACTGTCCCATAACTGAAAGGCTGTGGGTTCAATTCCCGGTCAGGGCACATACCTAGGTTCTGCTTTCAGTTCCAGGTCCAAATGAGTGCTAGAGGGAAGCAATTAATGATGCTCTTTCGCATTGATGTTTCTCTCTCCCTTCTTCTCTAAAAAAGCAATGAAAAAAATATCCTCGGATGAGAATAAAAAATATATATCTTTATTAATAAAATCTTACTTATGATATTGTTGAGTTTTCTGCATTAACTTCTCGGGCAAGCCATCTTCATCATCAAACTGCTCCATTGGCTCCACAATGACTGGACGTGGGGTCCTGGATAGGTAAAAAAGCATTAATAAGAATTTAAGGTCTAGAATTAATATTCTCCTAGCAATTTTTTAAGATTTTATTTATTTATTTTTAGAGAGAGGGGAAGGGGGGGGAGAGAGAGACGGAGAGGAACATCAGTGTGTGGTTGCCTCTGCAGAGCCTCCTACTGGGGACCTGGCCTGCAACCCAGGGATGTGCCCTGACTGGGAATTGAACCAGCAACCCTTTGGTTCACAGGCTGGCACTCAATCCACTGAGTCACACCAGCCAGGGTTCTCCCAGCAATTTTTTATAATTCCAAGATACATGCTTGGCAAATGTCCCTCAATGAAAAGTTCTCAGACGTTATCATGTATACTCATAAAATCAGTCAGTTAGCATTTGCTGTGCCACAGATGAACAGCAAAATCAGACTAAGATGAATCCTTGTTTCTAGAGTAGTTTATTCAAGATGACAGAAAAGTAAACCAACTATGAACCTTTGTAACCACTGTAGTTAACCTTCGCAAAGTACAAAAGATAAGTACCTAACTCATTTTTTATGTATGTTGTGTCATGTTCCTGTATCCCATGACCTAAAACTCCCATCTCCACCCACTTCCCAGCCTCTTTCTGTTATCTAACCAGTCTTGTTCAGAAAAGTCTTTCTTAAACCTAAAATGAGACCTAAAAGATATCAGCTAGGCCAAAGGGAAGGAGGGTGAGTCAGAAGATATAACATATTCAAGAAGCAAGTCGAGGGGAGAAGGAAGTCAAGAAGAATAGAAAAAAATGTAAACTATAATTGAAAAAAAATTTTTAATTAAAAAAAGTGGAAGATGAAAGATATGACTTAAGAACGCTCCTTCTTTACCATTTTCCTAAAGAAACTATAAAACTTACAATTCACCCTCCACCCCAACTTCCCTGGAGAGGGGTGAACTTCCCCTAGTAGTTTTAACACTTCATTTATGTTCTCACAACTAGTTGCTGGAGGAAGCAAGTGTGTCCTGTATGACTGAAAAAGTAGGGACTCCAGGAAGCTTACACCGGGTTTCCTCCAGACTTCAACCCATATGCATTTTTCCTGTGCTGATGATTGTGCTGTGTTCTTCCATTGTAACAAATCTTAGTCAGGATCCAGTTGGTATGGCTCAGTGGAGTGTGCGCCAGCCTGTGAATCAAACGGCTGCTGGTTTGATTCCCAGTCAGGACACATGCCTGGGTTGCAGACCATGTCCCCAGTAGCGGGTGCTCAAGAGGCAACCACACATTGATGTTTCTGTCTCCCTCCCTTCTCCTCTTTAAAAACAAAAAAATAAAATAAAATCTTTAAAAAAAAAATCTTATGTGGGAGACTACACATGCTGAGGCCTGAGTCTTTCTACTAAACCACCAAACCCTGAGGTGATCTTGAAACCACCCCTCTCCCTGTTTCATCCCCAATACACCTGAAAGTACATTAATCAAATACAACTTCTGACATATTCATGTTTTTATTTTCAATCAGTTTATTAACACAAACTTGGATTAGAGTATACCTCTTGTTTTGTGTCCTTTCTTTTATTTGCTAAATAAATGTCTTACTTGAAAAAGTTTTAGAACAGTTGTTAAATAGCCTATGTGTATAGCTGAATGCTCTGCCATAAACAAACGTGGAGTTTGTAACTTTAGTTTTGTTTGTATTTTTATTGAGATATAATTCACATACCATAAAATTCACCCTTTTAAAGTGTACAGTTCAGTGGTTTTTAGTATGTACAACCATCACCACAGTGTAATCCCAAAATACATTTTTTTAATTGATCCTAGAGAGAGGGAGCGGGGAGAGAAAAATATTGACCTGTTGCTCCATGTATTTACACATATACTGGTTGATTCTTGTATGTGTCTTGACTAGGGGTCAAACTTGCAACCTTCATATCTGGACGATGCTATAACCACCTTAACTACCTGGCCAAGGCCAAAACATTTTCATCATCCTGAAAAGGAACCCAAAATCATTAGAAGCCAATTCCTCATTCCCTTTCCTCTGAGCCTTTGGCAGCTACTAGTCTCTATGGCATACGCTACTTTTAAAAAATTTTATCTTCATGAATGTTGCATTTTCTGGTGTCATAAAATTTTCTTAAGAAAATTAACTGCATACTAATCCACTATAAGTATAATCAACTTGACCAATTCTATATTAAGAAATTTAGATTTCTCCAATATTTTGTTATTAGAAATAAAGCGATAAACCATATATACAACACCAAACCTTTCAGTCAAAATATTTACTTCAAGTACACCTCAATTATTGTATCAATGAGTCAAAGAATCTTAAGGTTTTTATACCCAGTACCTAAATCCCTTCCAAAAACAAAATGACCCACTTCCATTATCACCAGGAGTTACAAAAACACTCATGTGGCTTCACTTTCATTCACTGGGTATTTTATTTATTTATTTAATTTTTACATTAACAGAAATTTATTTTCTCACAATGCTAGAGCATGGAAGTCCAAAGTCCAAGACCAAGTCAGCAATGTTGGTTTCTCCTAAGACCTGGGCTCTTCTCCCTGTGTCCTCACATTCACTGGGTATTTTTAATTCTTTACCAATATAACAGATTAAAAAAAAAAAAAAGAAGGCCTTGGTTGGGCGGCTCATTTAGTTGGAGTGTCATCAACACCAAAAGGGTGCCAGTTAAACTCTCGGTCAGTGCACATACCTACGTTGTGAGTCTGATCCCCAATTGGGGCATGTATGGAGGCAACCAATAGATGTTTCTATTTCTCTCTCCGCGCCCCCTTCCTCTCTCTCTAAAATCAATTGAAAGCATGTCTTCAGGTAAGTACTCGAAACACAAGTTTATTCTTGTTATTTATTATCATATTTTCCATGTGAACAACTATAAAGCTACTTTTGCCCTACCCTGTATTTTCATGTAACCTGCAGTATCTTTAAATACAAAAAAAGCTAGATCAAGAAAAATTGAACTAGTGAGCACCTGTCATTGCTGTGCAGCTCTAAGGCATAAGCACCTCTAATGGTCTAGTTGTAATTCTAATGTTTAACAATGTGGACGTACCCATTATCATCAGAGATAAAAGTGTCTCATCAGCCCCCCATTTTTCTATTTCTTGTAGTTTCAAAACAGCATTAATACAGAATTTACACATACTTTTGCAATGTGTCAATCATTATACTGTACAACTGTATAATCCATATGTAATATACAGCAGTTTATGACAATGTAAAGGAATTTTAAAGAGAATTTTTGATTACACAAGACATCTACATTTAGAAACTAAATCCCTATGCTGCTAATCCTATAAATCACTTGAATTATCACAGATCTCTTGAGATGCAGTTACTCCATCCATAAATATTTCATTACTTAAGTACCAACACTTTATTTGGGGCCAGGAATACAAGGGTAAACAAAATAACTCCTAAAATCTTCTAAGAGACAAAAAAAAAAAAAAAGTAAACAAAATGATCATTTTAAGAAACATCAGAAAGAGTAACAGTATGCCCACTTTAGAAAAAGTGCCCACTTTAGAAAAGGCACTCAAGAAAACCTCTCCATGAAATGACGTTTCAGCTGAGACCCACTAATCAAACAGCAGGGAAAAGAGCATCCTGAACTCCATGAAAAAGTTTAGCTAAGAAAGTCTCTGAGCGTGGACTCTACAGAAATAAACCACTCCATCCGTACCACAAGATAAAAAGGATTTAGCTTCCAATAAAACGTCACTACTTACTAGCTGTGCAATGTTAAGCAAATTACTTAGCATCTCTAAGGCAGTTTTCCCACCTGACACATGCGACAAATAATAACCAGTGTTGTTGTGGAAATCTAAGCGATCACGATTAAGAAATACCTGACAGACAGCGCTGGCTGGTGTGGCTCAGTGGATTGAGTGCCGGCCTACAAACCAAAAGGTCGCCAGTTCAATTCCCAGTCGGGGAACATGCCTAGGTCGCGGGGCGGGTCCCCAGTGGGGAGTGTGCAAGAGGCAACGGATTAATGTATCTCTCACACACCCATGTTTCTCGCCTTCTTTCTCTCTTCCCCTCTCTCTAAAAATAGGTAAATCTTTAATTTTAAAAAAAGGTATCTGACAGATTATAAAATATTCAACACCACCTTGGCCATATGGCTCAGTTAGTTGGTTGGGCTTCCTCCTGCAAAGCAAAGCAAAAGGTCACCAGTTCAATTCCTGGTTAGGGCACATGCCTGGGTTGCAGGCATGGTCCCTGGTCAGGGCACATGCAAAGAGACAACCAAGTAATATTTCTCTCCTCTTTCTCCCTACTGTCCCTCTCTCTAAATAAATAAATAAAATCTTTAAAAAATAGATATTCAACATCTTCCCCATTCCACTAAAATTGTTTCTGGATATGGCCAGCTCAGTCAGTCAGAGGGTCATCCCAACAGGCCAGGGTTGCAGATTCAATCCCCAGTCAGGGTGCATACAGGAATCAACCTATTAATGCATGAAGGATCAGAATAACAAATCAATGTTTCTCTCAACTTGACAAATGTATTTTTAAAAGTTGTTTATAAATTATTCTAAAAGCTACCTGTAAGAAATGATTAAATATTTACTAAATACCTAGCTATGGCTTTAAAAAACACCAATTAACCAAAGCTAGCAGTGGAAAAAAATTTACCAATCACACACATGCCCACTGTTTTTGTTCCTTCCTTCCTTCATTCATTAAAAAATTATAAGCTTACTATGTGGCCAGGATCTACTAAAATATACATGTTTGGCCATGACTTCTATGGCTCAGTCGGTTGGGCATCATTCTGCAAACAGGAAGGTCACTGGTTTGATTCCTGGTCAGGGCACATGCCTGGATGGCGGGCTAGGTGCTCAGTGGGGAGCCTACGAGAGGCAAGCAATTGATGTTTCTCTCCCTCTCTTTCTCCCTCTCTTCTCCTCTCTTTAAAATAAGTGCAATCTTAAAAAAAAACAAAAAACAAAAAAAAAAAACAGGTGCTGAACTTAACTGAGGCTCTGCCCTCATGAAGCTTATATTTTACCGCAGAGGAAGACATACAAGTTAAAACAGTAAGTGCTCTAAAGAAAAATAAATTGGAGAGTAAAGCATCACTGACAGAGGGAATGGTTATTTTAATTTAAAACAGTCAGCTTCTCTGAGGAGGTAACATCTTAGTAAAATGTGAAAAAAAATAGAAGAGCAAGCAAGGCCTGTCATGATCTGGAGAAAATTCTCTAAGGAAAGCAAATAACACCAAAGACTCATAGAGAACAAGTTGGCTGTGATGTAAAACAGGTGACATGGCACAAATGCTTAACTATCTGAAACAAACTGAAAAATGCCCTAAAAATCCCCAAACTAAGCTGCTGGCCAGGAAGTAAGTCTTTTTTTTTTTTTTAAACATTGTCTTTGTATCTAATTCCCCAAACTCTAAAACAGCTGAATGATCCCAAGCAATAGCAAAGTAAGTACCAGGGTCAGGCACAGCTTCAGAGATAAAAGGAATCAATGCACTAATCAAACAAAAAACTTTTACACCAAATCTAGTCTGAAGACTAAGGATGAACATCAAGAACTTCATGGGCAAACTGAAAGAAAGGCATGTTAACATGGTAACAGGTTTAATGACTATTTTAATTTCGTATTATTTTTAAGTATATGGAGAGAGATACTGTGAAGATGTCAATTTCCCCCAAATGAGCAGTAGGCAGAATGTAATTCCAATTAAAAGCCCAGAATGTCTTCTTAATTGACAAACTGATTTCTTTTTTTCTTTTCTTTTTAATGATTTTATTTTTTAGAGAAGAGAAAGGGAGGAAGAAAGAGAGGGAGAAACATTCTGTTGCCTCTTGCATGCTCCCAACTGGGAACCTGGCTCACAATCCAAGCACATACCCTGACTGGGATGAAACAGTGACCTTTTGGTTCCCACGCCAGAGCTCAAGCGAGATAAACTGATTTTAAAATCAGTAAGGTTATAAAAAGAAACAATAATAACCAGAACAATTTGCCCTCATTGGTGGAGCTCTTGGGAGTATTCCGGCAAACAGCAAGGTCTCCAGCTTGATTTCTGGTCAAGGCACACGCCAGAGTTACAGGCCAGTTCCCCAGATGGGGACGCGCAAGAATCAAATAATATTTCACACATAAGTGTCTCTCTCCCTCTCTTTCTCCCTCCTTTCTTCTCTCCCTAAAAGTAAACAAAATAAAAGTATTTTTTAAAAATTAAAAAGTAGCCCCGGCTGGTATAGCTGAGTGAATTGACCGCCGGCCTGCAGACTAAAAGACCGCCTGTTTGTTCCTAGTCAGGACACATGCCTGGGTTGTGGGCTGTCTAGGTTGGAGGCATGTGAAAGGCAGCCCATCCATGTTTCTTTCACACACACCGATGTTTTTCTCCCTCTCTGCCCCTCTCTCTAAAAATAAATAAATAAGACCTTTAAAAAATAAAAAAGAACCAGAACAATTTGAAAAAAGTATGACATAGGATGATACCACCTGATTTCAAAGCTTAGACTAAAGAAAGTACAACACAGGTATGAAGATATACTGATCAATGAAACAGAAAACAGTGCAGATTTTTTCCCCAAGTGTTTGATAAAGGTAACAAAGGAGAAGTTTGGTTTTTTTCCTCCAATTAACGTTGCTAAAATAATTAGATCCTTTTATGAAAAAAAAATTACTTGTTACCTTATATCACACTCAAAATGGACCACAGGTATAAATTAATAAGCTATAAAATTTCTCAAGAACCCTGGCCAACATGGCTCAGTTGGCTGGGAATCGTCCTGCTAAAAACGTCGCAGATTCAATTCCGGGCCAGGGCACATGCATGGGTTCAATCCCCAGTCAAAGGTACATACAGCAGGCAAAATTGATCGATGTTTCTCTCTCAATCGATGTTTCTCTCCCAATCGATGCTTCTCTCCCTGTCTTTCTACCTCCCTTCTCTGCTCTCCAAAAACAACAAAAACAATTTTTTAAATTTTCTCAAGAAAACATGAGAAATGATTTATTACCTTAGGAAAGGCAATGATTTCACACAAGAATACAAAAAGCACAAACATTAAAACAAAAAAAATTGATGTTAGGCTTCACAAAACAAAACTTTCTACTCTTTGTGGAACACTAATGAAGAAAATTAAAAAGCCACAGACTGGGAGAAATAGTCATAATACACACTGTACCCATATTTGTTAATACACTAAGACAAACCACCCAATGAAAAATTAGGCAAAAACTGTCAACACATTTTACAAAAATATAATAGCTAAAAAGCACATGAAAAGTTTTTCATCCTTAGTCGTTAGGAATATAAAATGTTTAATGTAGCCTCTTTCTTTTTTAACCCTCACCCAAGGATGTGTATGAATTTCGGAGGGGGTGGGAAGACAGACACTGATGTGAGAAACATTAATCAGTTGCCTCTGTTCATAACACAACTGGTAATCAAACCTGCAATCTAGGTATGTGCCCTGACCAGGTATCAAACCCACAACCTTTTCATACATAGGATGATATTCCAACCAATCAAGTCACCCTGCCAAGACAAGAATATAAAATTTAAACCGCAATAGACACACCTACACTCAGAGGATCTAAGAAATGAAGGCTCTCAAATGTTGGTAAGGATATGGAGCAACCAGAACTTTCTCAGTCACTGCTGGTGAGTGTGTTAAATGATACAAACCATTTTAGAAGAGTTCGGCAATTTCTTATAAAGTTGAATATACAGCCATTTACCACTAAATATTATCCAAGACACATGAAAGCATAATGTTCACAAGAAGCCTTCCACACAACTGTCAATAGTTGAATCAACTCAGATGTCCACCCAAAAGTCACTGGACAAACTGTAGTAATGACCCCATGATGGAATACAACTCAGCCATAAAAAGGAACAAAACAGAGTCCAGATAATATAGCTCAGTTGCTTGGGCATCAGCCCACGAACCAAAAGGTCACCAGCTCAATTCCCAGTCAGGGCATACATGCCTCAGTTGCATCAAAGTTGCCTGAGTTGAAAGAAAGGGATGTTTCTCTCCCTTTCTTTCTCCCTCCCTTCCCCTCTCTCTAAAATCAAAAATACTGTTTTTTTTTTAAAAAAAAGGAACAAAATACGAACACAATGTTATGCTAAGCAAAATAAATCAGACACAAAGGAGTACATAATATGTTATTTCATTTACATAAAATACTAGAAAAGACATGCCCTGGCTGGTGTGGCTCAGTGGACTGAATGCTGGCCTGTGAACCAAAGGGTCATAGGTTCGATTCCCAGTCAGGGCGCATGCCTGGGTTGCAGGCCAGGTCCCTAGTTGGGGGCATGCGAGAGGAAACCAATTGATATGTGTCTTGCACATCAGTGTTTCTCTCCCTTACTTCCCCTCTTTCTAAAAATAAATAAAATCTTTTAAAAAATAAAATAAATTAAAAAATAAATTAGAAAAGACAAAACTAATTTACAGTAACAGAAAGATCAATAGCTGCCTAGGACAGGGATAAGGAACAGGGAATAAATACAAAAGGCACAAAGGAATTTTTGTTGGATGGTGGAAATATTCTTTATCTTAATTGTGGTGGTAGGTTGTGTGACTATACACACATCTGCTAAAACTCATTGTTTTAGCCCTAGCTGGTGTGGCTCAGTGGATTGAGTACCTGCAAACCAGAGTTGCCAGTTCAGTTCCCAGTATAGGGTGCTTGCCTGGGTTGCAGGCCAGGACCTCAGTAGGGGGTATACAAGATGCAACCACACATAAATGTTTCCCTCCCTCTTTCTCCCTCCCTTCCCTTCTCTAAGAAATATATAAATTTAAAAAATAAAATCTTTAAAAACAGAAAGTTCTAAAAAAACCTTCACTGTTTTAAAATTGGGTGTATTTTAATATATGTAAATTATACCTCAATAAAGTCGATTAAAATGTCATTATTTAAATAAAGACATACCTTGTTTATTGTACTTCATAAACACTATATTTTTAACAAACTAAAGGCTGCTAGCAACCCTATGTTGGGCAATATATCAGCGCCATTTCTCCAACAGCATTTGCTTTTTTTATCAATAAAGTATTTTTTAAATTAGAGGATGTACATTTTTTTAACATGCTACTGTACACTTAATAGACTACAATATAGTGTAAACATAACTTTTACATGCACTAGGAAACCCAAAAATTTCATGTGACTTGCTTTATCACCAAATTCGCTTTATCGTAGTGGTCTAGAATTTAACCCACAATATCTCCTATATTCCTGTATGAAATTTTGCTTTGCATATAACAGACATTCAGTAAATTAAATGAAAACCATAATAAGAAACATTCCTGAGACACAAGTATGAATCAATAAACTCCAGTTGAAAGAAAGTATAACCCTGATTCCTAGAGGGACACAGAAACTCCTTATTTATATTCACTGAATATTTACTCACCATCTACTTACCACATGCTAAGACAGTATGAACTACAGACAGAAGGAAAGACAGAATTCCAGAACAGAGAGAAACCTATTATGTAACTGCCTAGAAAAATGACAAAATGTTTAAAACTTACGTTGTTAGCAAGAACGCCCCATCACCACATCTTTCCAGAGCCTTTCGTGCAGGAGGTTTTGCTGCAAATTCTACAAAACCTTTTCCTGTAGCTCTACCACGATCATCCACAACCACAACGGCTTTCTCTACTGGACCAAACTGGGAAAATGCTTGCTCTAGAAGCTCATTGGAAACAACTGGAGAAAGGTTCTTGACAGTTAGGGCTGCTCCATGTGTAGCAAAACGAATTCGGAGAGGTCTGCTCTTCAAAATGGTGCCATCCAGCTCTGCTTTTGCAATTTCAGCCAGTGTTCTGGATTCCTTTTCAGGAGAAAAAAATCACTTTTAAAAGATGATACCAACAGAAAAATTGTAAATAGTAGTCTGTTTCTAGGGAGATTAGCTAGTCATCTGGGTAGCTTTAGTAAATAACTGATAGAATCACTTTGTTTTTGTGTCTTTCAACTTTGGTATATAACATGCATTTTATTAATTATTTGATGTAATTTTAAACATTCTGAGTACAAAGTCCCAACCTCAATGTCCTATTAAAAAGCCATCACTTTGCCCTGGCTGGGTGGCTCAGTTGGTTGGAGCTCCGTCCCATGCACCAATAGACTGCAGGTTCAATCCCAAATCCGAGCACAAAACTAGGCTGCAGGTTCTATCCACTGTCAGGGTTCATCCAGGAGGTAAATGATTGCTGTTTCTCTCTAAAATCAATTTAAATTTTACACACACACACACACACACACCCTCCATCCCCTCAGGTAAGGATTAAAAAAAAAAGCCATCGCTTAAAGATTATCTGCTGATAAACAAATTACAAATTATTAGATACTCAAATAATATTTTTTAAAATCTACATATATTAAAAGAAATACATTGGGGAAGGAGGTATAAGGGGACTAAAGGGTAATGGAAAAAATACAATAAAGATGAAATCAAAAATAAAAATAAATAAAAGAAATACGTAATTATTTTTCAATACCAAGTACCAGTTACTAGAAACCAGTGTTTAAACAAAATTCTCTATGCACTCCAAGTTTTTGATATTTATTTATCTTTTTTTAAATGACTTGTAGAGGAGGGGGTGTGGGAGAGAAAAAGAAAATTGATTCATTCATTGGTTGATTCTTGTATGTGTCCTGACAAGGGATCAAACTTGTAACCTGGTTGTATTGGGACAACGCTCTAACCAACTGCGCTACTCGGCCAGGGACATTATACCTTAATAAAAATAAGAGCTCTCAAATGTCAGACAAATCCTTTCTTTTTTATGTCCATTTCTTTTCTATATTATCTGTGAAAACTACTATCAGGTGTTGTTAATCACTTCTCCAGGAATACTTTCAAAGGATACACATTTCTCACCATTACATTTGAGAAGTGTGCACGCGCGTGCGCACACACACACTCATGGGCTCTACGAGTTCTCTCCATTTCATAAAGAAGCAAGTGCTCAAGCACTTATAAACTAGAAAATATGTTCACTGCTGAAACCCCAGGATAAGAGAATTTCTTCTTGAATTCAAAGGTATAGAATACAGGCATCTAAAACAATAATACAACAAACTGTATTTATTACAAAAATGTAATATTTCTATATTACAAAAATGTAATTTTCAATATTAGTGATCACAAACTTGGGACCTGCTTGACGATTTTAAACAATTATCAAAAGGGCTGCTGCATAATTAGGGTTATCATGTGGGGACTTGTTTGCTTATCTGTGGAAGATATCACAAAAATTACATTTAAGTAATAAAGTAATAATAAAGGTATAGTGTTTTTGTTTTAACTGTCCAGAGACTTTAAAAGAGGCTTTTTATGCATAGTATGCATTCTTAAGAAGAGTACAAATACATTATCTTATGAAAAAAGTCTTAAGGTCACAAGAGCCCTTCTTTATTCAATCCCTAAATTGTTCATAACAGCTTTAAAATACTGCACTTATGTAAAAAATCTACAGAATATTACAAAGAAAAATGAATCTAACCTTTTCACAGATATTCAAAATGGCCACTTTGTTTTTAACTCTTAATAGCAGTAGTCCCAGTAAATATTCAATGAATATCCAACAAGGGACAGGTACTATATACCTAATAAATCATAACCCAACAACTCTGAGAGGCAGATTTTAGGAATGGAGTCTTGAATTAAAATGTTGCTGGGTATAATTGGGAATGGGAAGGGACATAAGGAAATTTCATGAGATAATGATAATGTTCTGTAACTTGATAAGAGTCTGAGTTAAACAGACTGATGTAATTGTCTAAAATCACACACTTAAAAGTTGAAAATTTCACTGTATGTAGATTTCAAATACCTCAAAAAATAATACTGGACTTTAATAAGCATGCTGGAGTTTTATTTAAGAGGCATAAACTGATGAATGATGGAGAGAGATGAAGAGGTATGTGAAAAAAACATACAGCAATATTTAACTGTAGAATCAAGATGGTGGGTTATGCATATATACACGATCTGTCTCAAATCTTTTACAACAAAATGTTTGGGGACAGGAGGATAGAGCGCGTAAAGTGGATTCTGTAAAATCAAAGGGTATTTCTAGTGGGAATCACCTTGTCAGATTTAGTCAAATTCACTCACAATGTCTTTCTCTGTTTCCCCAGTGGAAGCAAGAAACCTCAATTTTTGTTAAATCACATAATTTTTTACTGTTAGAAATAAATTCAATTTTTAATGCTTTTTGGCCAAAGGAAAATGTTCACATTGTCAGGAACTTTCAATGTCCTAATCCTTTTATTTAAGTTTATACTGTTCCTTGTTTTAAATGGTTCTACATCAGAGTTTTTTAACCTGGGCACCACTGACATCATGGGCAAGATAAATTCTTGTTGTGTGGGGACTGTCCTGTGCAGTAGATCCAAACCCCTGTTTTGACAACCAAGTATACCTCCTGACAGTCCAACATCCTCTGGGAAGCAAAACTACCCCATTTGACAACCACTGGTCTAGATGTGTACTGAAGTATGTGTACTAATTAAAAATATGTATTATCCTCACCAACAGTCTTATAAAGTAGGTTTTGTTTCACACACTGCAAATGCTGACCTAAATGTATTCACAAGTCACAATCTCCACCAATACACCATAAACCCCACCTTCCAGCTGGTGTCCCTGCATCACTCTTAAGTAAAAAGTAAAACTACAGGTTCTTAACTGAAAGGAATAAAAAAAATAAAAACAAGAAACTAAGTGACCATCCAAGATAGAGACTGCCTGAACTAGGGTTGGGGTGTCCAGTCCATGGCCCACGATGGCTATGAGTGCGATCTAACACAAAACCATAAATTTACTTAAAACACTACTTAGTTTTATTACTTAGAAATGTACATTTTCTATATTAGTGATCACAAACTTGGGACCTGCTCGATGATTTTAAACAATTATCTAAAGGGGTGCTGCATAATGAGGGTTACATGTGAGGACTTTTTTGCTTATCTGTGGTGACAGATATCACAAAAAGTATGCGAGAACCGTTTTTTTTTTTTTTGCTTATCAGTTTTCCTAAGTGTCTGTGTATTTAATACATGGCCCAAGACAACTCTTCTTCCAGTGTGGCCCAGAGACGCCAAAAGGCTGGACACCCCTCAACTAGGGTCTATTGATTACCACAGGACCCATCCCAAAGGCTCTTTCCAAAACACATGTTCTTTTCTCTCACTGTTTATTAGTGGTTAAATTCCCCACTGCAAGAGTATTAAATAAGTACACGGAAATCCACTAATGCAAAATGGAAAGTCTTTAAGGTGATCAATAGAAAGTTGATTAAATAACTTGCAGTACATTCATACCGTGAAATACTGTCATTAAAAAGAATCTAATGACACAAAAAGATATAATAAATGAAAAGCTGAAAATCACAATACAATGTGTATAGTATCCTTTTATTTTTAGGGAAAAATATACAAAGGTTAACAGTGATCATGTTTAGTAAGTATATGAGGGGAGGGAAGATCTTTCACTAGTGTAAAACTGTAATTAAAGGAACTTCCCTGAAATAAAAGATGACTTTGAAATCATATGCTGAACACGTTTACTAAGTACCTTTTGCATTGTCTTCTCTAATTAACATTTGAACATTCTGGCCCTGGCTGGTGTGGCTCAGTAGACTGAGTACCAGCCTGTGAACCAAAGGGTCGCCCGTTCAATTCCCAGACAGGGCACATGCCTGGGTTGAGGGCCAGGTCCTCAGTAGAGGCAATTATGAGAAGCAACCACACTGATGTTTCCGTCCCTCTCTTTCTCCCTCTCTTTCCCTCTCTCTGAAAATAAATAAAATCTTTTAAAAACAATTGAACATTCTGTAAAAAAGCATACATTATTTCACAACTAAATCTAAGCCCTGGCTGGTGTGGCTCAATGGACTGAGCATCAGCCTGCAGACCTAAACAGTCACCAGTCTGATTCCTGGTCAGGGCACAAGCCTGGGTTGCCAGCCAAGTCCACGTCTGCAGGCGTGCGAGGGGCAACCCATTGACATTTCTCTTGGGGACATGCAAACCAACCTATGTTTCTCTCCTTTTATCCCTCCTTTCCCTCTCTCAAAAAAATAAATGAATCTTTTTTAAAAAATCAAAATCACGAGGGGAAGTGGTTTAGTCCCCCATAACTAAGTAAAGGTAAATTCAGTTGACTTCTAATTCTTTAATTAGAAAAATGGTTCTGAAACCTTACCATCAAAAGAACACCAGAAACGGCTGGAACCCAATCCCAAAACTTCTAACTCAGTAGATCTACAAAAGGGGCCCTAGTATTTGCATTTCTAACAAATTTCCAATTAACTGATTATTGAGGTGAGACAAATTTTGAGATGGTATAAGGTAAGCACTGCTAGCATGAATAGTAGGAGAAATAACTTAGGTGGCCTTCTGCTTACACCAAGAAGAGATTTGAAGCATTTGGACAGGGACCACAGTTCTGTGAATCACAGCTCCAGAAATTCAGACTACTAAAGCTAAAAGTAGGAGATGGGGTAATAAAAGCAGAAAACAAGTTCAGGTGAAAAACCATCTTTAACTACATTAAATTAGTTTTAAAATGCACTACAACTTTTGAGTTAATATATCCAATCTAAGTTGGCAGTAACCAGTCAAAACGTAAGAGGAAGCTGTTGGATCTAACATTCCACAAAAATGGGTCCAAAATACACACAGTCTATTTCAACCCTAATGTACCAGAGCCTCACCCTATGGATTAGACCCTCACTACAAGGAAGTGCCACTTAAATTCTCTTCCCTACCCTTGCCAGCTAGTTCAATTGGTTAGAGCATCATCACAATACACCAAGGTTGCAGGTTCATTCTCCAGTCAGAGAACAAACAACAAGCAATCAATGAATGCATAAATAAGTGGGTACAACAGTACAACGGTTCGTTCCTTCTTTCCCTCTTTCCCCTCCCTCCCTCTCTCTCACAAATCAGTAAGTACAATTTTTTAAATTCTTTTCTCTACCGTTACATACCTGTAATATGCTAACCCTACACCACCTCAAAAATGTCTCACCTAATCAATGAACTGCAAAACTACAGCTACCATTCCAAGAAAATTTATTTGCATTTAAAATTACTAAACAAGTAAAAAGTATTTCTAAAAATACAAATCTTATCAAGCTATCACTATTTTAGAGCCACTACACCCCCCCCTATACACACAAGACTACAGCCACTATGCCATTACTTACATTCAAATCAGGCATACACTACGATTTTCCTAAACAGGAAAAAAAAAAAAAAAAGGAATAGCTCAAAAATATTTAAACCTTTTAAATTTACTTATTAATCACAGAGCTCGGGTTAAACGGTAAAGTTAATCCATAAAGTCAAATTTTGTAAACCAAATTCTAATTTCCAGCTGACAAATTTTTAATATTCTTACACAAAAATTTAGGGTAGTAGGTTTGGAGGAGCACATCCCAAAGAAGCAACATAACAGCAGCCCTTCTCACCTTACCATTTCATAATCTCATAGTTTGTTTTTTTTTAAAGAAAGAAAAGCAATGAGCTCTGCTGTCCAATGTAGTAGCCACTAGCTACATGTGACTATTTAAGAAGATATAAAACTTAGCCCTTACTCAGTTGGTTGGGCTTAACTCCGCAAAGCCAAAGGTCACTGGATTCCTGCTCAGGTCACATGCCTGAGTTGGGGTTTGGTCTAGGTTGGGGGAGCACACAAGAGGCAACCTGTGAATGTTTCTCTCCCACACTGACGTTTCTCTCCCTCTCTCTCCCTCCTTTCCTCTCTTTAAAAATAAATAAAATGTATATAAATAAGTAAACTTTAAAACTCCTCAGTCACAACAGCCATATTTTAATTAGTAAACAATCACGTATGTCTAGTGGCTACTATATTAGCACAGACACAAAGCATTCCCATCACTGCAGAAAGTCCTATTGCACAGCTTTAATAAAGGATTATTAACTTTAAAGATATGAAAGGAAAAGATGTCTCCACATCAATAAAATGTTTACTGGGTTATTTGTAAGTGTAAGACTTCCAAAAGAGGGAAATGCAGCCCTAATGATTCTACCAGAATGTCAACTTCAGCATAAACCAAGATAATGCCAGAGGCTGAAGATTTCAAAAAGGTTAAATACCACGTTTTTGGAAGAGTTTACTGAAAGTTGTCTATAATACTTTATTGTAGAAACCTAACTTCCTTTATTTTAAGAAAACTTCTGAATACATATCTAGTTTAAAAAAATTTACCACGTGACAGGCTGGTTCTCTGATGTCCAAAACATAAGTGCATTTCGAATTTTATGTTGAAAATGCACTGGTTAAGAAAATTTCCATGTCTCATTAATACCGTAGGAAGATTTCCCCTTCTCTTGAGGCCGTTTAGATGTTCAAATGTCCTCCCTGAAAAGTAGTGTCATTTAATCGCAATCAATTTTCTCTACATAATAAAATTTGTCTTCACTATTCATTGAGAACCCAGTATTAAAAACTAAAGTTCCAATAGGAAAGCTTCCACAAATTACCATGACGGTAAAATCTGAGGGTCAACCCGACAACACACATACTTGTGTAAAAATGCCTCCCTCCAAGATAGATATTTTGTTGGGAAAGAAAATATCCAGCATCTAAATATGAATTACAACAGTGCTGTAAAACAGACACTGATGGAATTCACCAGAAAGCACAGAAAAACACCATGTAGATGATACTGTGTCGTAAACGCTCACCGTTCACTCTTCAAAAAATATACAGAGGAGGCACAAATTGTGTATCCTATTGAATAACTTTCTAAGATTCAAATTAATAATGAGTAAATATATAGCATCCTAGTATTAAAACCTGGAAGTATTAAAACAGTATGTAATTCCGAAAGGTCTTAACCTCCCGAATGTTGGTGGCGACACATTATATTGGATAGAGTAATTCAGCACAGTCCCAACACTGCGGAGTGTAGGATAAATGCGGGCTGCGCTGAGGCGAAGCACGGTGAGAAATAACGGGGTTTACCGTTAAATGCTTTACGGTCTGGCGGAAGCCAAAGGGGCGATTTGGATAATTTTATAGGAAGAAAGTCCGCTAGGCGGGCCTTTGTGCCCAATGAGACTTCCGGTAAGGCCGGAGTTCCCGTTCCCAATTCTTTCCCATTCATTCTCCTTCCAAACCCACTCTGCCTGGCCTCGGAGTTGCTACCCTGCTGGTTCCCCGTATCAGCAATCACAACCAGCAGGGCAGGGCTAACCGCCAGCAAGGTCGGCTGCTCAGAACCTCGGACGACCCGCTCCCGCCCCACACTCACCAAGCGGATGAAGCCGAAACCACGGTCGCGGTTGATAAAGACCTCGCTAGGCTCGCCATAACGCTCGAAGAGCCGCTTGAAGTCCTCCTCCGTGATATCGGTGGGCAGGTTGCCCACGAAGAGGCGGCAGCGCTGCGTGTACGTCTTCTCGCCCGGCTTGAGGAAGCTCTTGATGTCGATGGTGAAACCCACCTCCTCGTCCGGGCGCTCCTCCACGGGCGCGGGCGCGGGAGGCGCCGTCTCCCCAGCTAGCGCGAGCGCCATGGCGGCCGCCGGCTCGCTCTCCCCCGCCGCCGATTCAAGAGCGCGCAGGCGGGCCGGGTTTTTCTCAATTCGGACTTGCTTCAGGTTTCCCCTCAACATCATCGGAGGGCTTCGCCTCGGACCCGGAGCCAACCCTAGAGATATGTCTGTGGCTCCGTGCCTCCTGATGATGATGGTACTGGAAAGGCGAAAGCTAAAGAAAAGCAGGAGATCGCTGAGGCACCAGCACTGCCCGGCCCACCTCACGGCCGCGGCCGCTGAACGTTCAAAATGGCGCTGTCTCCAGCCGCAGTTGGAACAGACGCAAACCGCAAGCCCCGCCCCTACGCAAACGCCCGCGCCGCAGCCAACGCGCCTGCGCAGTCTTGGCGCCAACGCACCTGAGCTACCGTGCTTCTCTGCCTACAGCTTGACCAGTGCTTTTTTTACAGAGCTGCATTTAGGTCAGTCAAGTACAGTTTCCCAATCCCCTACGATAGCAGGAATTCTTCATTGTACAGCTAGGGAAAATTGTGCAATATGTGCAGCAGTGTGTTAAAATATGATATTTTATGTAAATATCCAACTCAATTTTCAGCGACTACTGCAAAATGAAAACTTGCACATTTTATACACAGCTTTTAATAACAGCATATTTCCCAATAATTAAAACAAGTAGAAACACGTTTTGCCTGTTTCAAGAGCAAAGTTTTTATTATATCTCCTAATAAGACACTCCAATTGTATAAAAACCATGCCTATGAAAGTAACACAACCAGCCCCAGAACTCCTATGGAACTACTCTATGACAAGAATCCTCAAAAGTTTTCTGTAAAAGGCCTGACTGCAAAAATTTTAAGATCTGAGAACTATACCAATGTCTACCAAAATATTCAGTGCTGTCCTCCACTGCTCCTGGTACATGGTAAGTCTTCAGTGAGTGTAAAGAAAAAGAATTCACAGTCACTGCAAAACAGTTCAACAGTTTCTCATAAAGTTAAATAAAGGATGACTTTAGAACAGAAACCCCACTCCTAACTATTTAGCCAAATGAAATAAAAACTTGTATTCACACAAAAACCTATATGCAAATGTTTAAAGGGGCTTTTGTTGTTATCTGCAAAAAAAACTGAAGGGTTTTTGTTGTGATCAGCAAAAAAATGGAAATAACCAAAATGTCCCACTGGTAAATGAATAAACAGTGGTACATTCACATAATAGAATATACTACATAATAAAAAAAATAAACAACTAATCCAGCCCTAGCCAGGTAGCCCTGTTGGATAGAGCATTCCCCCAGTATGCCATGGTTCTGGGGTTTATCCCTGGTCAGGGCACATACAAGAATCAAGCAATGAATGCATCAATAACTGAAGCAACAAATCAGTGTTTCCCTCTTCCTCTCTCTCTTTTCCTTCCTCCCTCCCTCCCTCTCTCTCAAAATCAATAAATAAAAATTTTTTAAAATAAACTGATACAGCAAAAGTGTAACTCATAAGGCTACATTCTGTATATATAACTCTGGAAAAGACAAAGCTGTAACTCCAGAAAACAGATCAGTGGTTGGCAGGAGCTGGGAGGCAGGGAGGGGCTGACCACATAGGGACACCAGAAAATTTCTGGAAAATGGAACTATATATTGATTATGGTTCTGGCTATACAACTGTATGTATTTGTCTAAATTTGGTATACCTGGGCACTAAAAGGGCCAATGTTACAGTATTTAAATTATATCTTAAAAGAAATAAAAATAAAACACTATCAGGACTCATCCCTATCTACCATAGTTACCACCAAAATTCTAATCACTCAGACTCCACAAACAGTTTGGCAAATTACTCAGTATTACCCATTTCTCCCACCTTGCTCAGTTACTCCAAAGTTCTTGGAAACTAATTCTCTGTCATCAGCAAAATCCCTACTCTGAACATGTCTTCACCTTCCTGCGTTAACTGGAATATGGCTTTCTCCTGAAGACTGCTTCCCCTGCAGCCATCGCTAGAAGTGGATTTGTTTTTCTCCTATATCCCATATGTCACTGGACATTTTCTTTGATCCCTTGCAGCTTGGACACTATGTCCCCTCTCTCCTTAAACAAAAACCCCGCATCCAAAAAGGTCATGCCAACATAAACTCTCCCCCCCCCCACCCTTTCTTCATTCCCTTCTTTCTCCCACCTTAGTAACTTTCTGACCAGTCTTTAAATTTATGGCCACAGATATCAGGTAGGATCTCTGCCCTTAGTTATTTCTCTCACCTAATTTCCTATGCAACAATTTTACACATTTTCTCTCTCCTCAGACCAACAATTCTCCTCAACTCACAGATAGCTGATATTGCCAAGTTTTATTAATTTCACTGAAGAAAAAGGCAGAATAAAATTACCTCATTCTCTAAACACCTAATCTACAAACCTAATTCCATTCATAGCCATATACACTGCCTTCCCTCCTGTTGCATTGAATGAATTACTGTTGATCTTCTCTAATGTCAACCCACTAGGTAACATCTTCATTTTTCTAATCAAAATCTATTTTTAAATTTATTGATTTTTAGAGGAGAAGAAGAAAAAGAGAGAAACATCGATTTTGTTATTCCAACCACTTATGCATTCATTGGCTGATTCTTCTATGTGCCCTACTGGGGATTGAAGCTGCAACCCTGGCGTATCAGGATAATGCTCTAACCAACTTAGCTACCCAGCCACAGCTGGATAGCCTCTTCTTTCCAAGTACTTTGCTTTTATCTAATCACTTTCCCAAGGACCAGTTATTTGATCAGTACTGAACTACTCCCATCGGCAAAACAAACTGCTGATATATAACTATCAGCTTTAAAAAAAAAAAAAAAAGAAAGGAAGAAAATAAAACTTTTTGGATTCCATGTCCTGTAGCTACTATTTCTTTAGGAAAGAAAGAAGAGAGTCATCTATACTTTTTCTCCATTTGTACATCTCTTGATTTCTCCTTAAGCCCCAATAATCAGATGTCTATTCCCACATTCCATTCCTCGAAAACCTCTCTCATCACAGTGGGCAACAGCCTCTACTTTACCAAATGCAACAGTCAAACCTCAGACTATTCAATAGCACCTAGTATGGTAGATCTATGCCTGAGTTTAATCATGTATAATGTGGGAATAATACCTACTTCATAGGCTTATTGCACATGTTAAATGAATAAATTACAGTCTTTGGAAAATATTCTGGCACTATAAAATTATTATTATTATTGATCATTTCCCTCTACCTTTTTGAAACAGCATTTTGTCTTCCATTCTGTCCTGTTCTCTGGTGTTCTTATATCTCACTGTCCACTCCATAGTCTCTGTGTCTTTCTTGGGAATCTTCACTTCATATTTTGGAGATCCACATGTCTAAGTCCTCCTCTAATTTCCTCTCTAGCTACTCATTCCCTAGATCAGATACCAGGGTGCCTCAGAAAGCATTAGAGAAGGTTTTCTAAAACTTCAACACTATTGATGTTTAGGACCAAATAATTATTTGTTATGAAAGTATGTTTAGCGGCATTACTGGATGTCAATAGTGCCTTACTCCTAGCTGTGAGAAACCAAAATCTGCCAGGCATTATTCTAATTGCTTTCCACTTACTTAGACCCTTTTTTTAAAACCAGTTTTAGGTTCACAAAAATTTAAGAGGCAGATACAGAGATTTCCAAAACACTCCCCACCGCCCCCTCCACACAGCCTCTCCGATTATCAACATCTTTCACCAGAGTGGTACATGTTATAAAAGACGAACCAACATTGACACACCTGATCACCAAGTTGAGAGCTTACAGCAAGATTCACTTTTGGTGTTGTACATTCTATGGATATAGAAAAATTTTAATGACAGGTACCCACCATTACAGCATCGGACAGTATTTCACTACTTGTGCCTCACCTATTTATCCTTCTCCCCATCCACCCACTCGCTGGCAACTACTGACCTTATTTATCTATTTATTGATACTCCTCACCCGAGAATATGTTTATTGATTTTATTTTTTATTTAATATTTATTGTATGTTGTTCTCATTAAGGTTTAGTTCCTTTATACCCCGTCCCCTCAGTAATCACCACACTGTTATCCATGTCCATGAGTCCTTTTTGCTCAACCCCTCCAACTCCACAACCTCCCCTCCCCGACTAGCTGCCATCTTCTCTCCATCTATGAGTCTGTCTCTGTTTTGCTTGTTAGTTCAGTTTGTTCATTAGATTTCACATATGAGTGCAGTCATGAGGTATTTGTCTTTCTCTGGTTTATTTCACTTAGCATAAAGTTCTCCAGGTCCATCCATACTGTCACAAAGGGTAAAATTTTCTTCTTTTTTACTGCTGTGTAGTAAAATCCATTGTGGAGATATTTCCATTGTGTAAATATCCCCATAGTTTTTTCATTCACTCATCTATTGATGATGGATACTTGGGCTGCTCCCATACCTTAACAATTGTAAATAATGCTGCACTGAACATAGGGATGTTTAAGTTCTTTCAAATTAGTGTTTTGTGTTCCTAAATAAGTAAAGCAAATCTTGATGGAAATAAAGGGAGAGAGCAACAAAAATACAGTCATAGTCAGGGATTTAAACACCCTCTTGACTTCAATGGATAGATCTTCCAGCAGAAAATCAGCAAGACAGCAGCCTTAAACAACACAGCAGATCACATGGACTTAATAAATATCTTCAGAGCATCTCACCTCAAAACAGCAAAACATATGTTAATTGCTTTTAGAGAGAGGAAGGGAGAGAGGAGGAGAGAGAGGGAGAGAAATGTCAATCTGTTGACTCACATATGCACCCCGATGGGGATCTAACCTAGGTATGTGTTCTGACCAAGAATTGAACCCGCAGCCTTTTGGTGTATGGAACAACACTCCAACCAATTGAGCCACCCAACCAGGGCAACTACTGATGTTTTTATTGTCTCCAGGGATTTGCCTTTTCCAGAATGTTGTATACTTGGAATCATGTAGTACGTAGCCTCTTCACACTGAATTCTTTCATATAGTAATATGCATTTAAGTTTCCTTTAATTTTTTTCATGGCTCAATAGCTATTTTTTTAAATGTATTGATTTGAGAAACATTGATTTGCTCTTCCACTTATTTATGCATTCATTTGTTGTTCCTTGTATGAGCCCTGACTTGAGATCAGACCTGCAAATTTGGTGCTGTGGGATGATGCCCTAATCGACTGAGCTATTCGACCAGGCCTCATTTCTTGTTAGTGCTGACTAATATTCCATTGTCTGAATGTGCCACAGTTTACCTATCCACTCACCTACTGGAATAC